GGAATGATGTGGACATCGAACCCTATCGAGGAGGAGGTGCTAGGGACCCGTTATTCTATCCGCTAGGCCCGATCACTCGAGCGAGAGCGAAGGAATTCAAACAAGCTGTCGGTATCATGGTTCAAGATATTTGGAATGGAGACAATCTGGATTCGAGACTTGAAGATTCTGAAGCTTCTTGGCGCAACATGATTACTCTTGGTCCAGCGAATTCCGAAGGAGCTTAGAATTGACGAACACCGAATTGGCTCAAATTTGGATGGACGCTTGGAAACGGGCCGCTGATCAATACTCACTACTTTAGTAGTGATTGATGACGTTTTTTAGCGATTTGGAGTCGTTTAGATGAACTTTTAGGCCTTTTTCCATTTTTGGACGAATTTTAGCAATTAAGGTTATTTTTGTAATTTTAATCCTAGTAGGATTAGGATTAGGGTTAGCACCCTATATAAGGTTGCTTATAGATTTCTAAGAGGAGAGACATAATTTTTTTTATAGAGAGAAGTTTTCTTCTTGAGTTCTTTTGAGGACTAGATCTTATCAAGGCTCCCTTGTGGCGATCGAATTAAACTTATCGAGCAAGATCGCGAATTCTCTTGTTCGTGGCGTTATAGCGTGGATTGGTTGACACAGGTTCGTCAACAGGTCGCGTTCATACCGATATTACCAATCACAGATTCGATTGGGGGTTGAGGTCAGCAATTCGTAACTCATAGATCTTCGTAGAACGATCATCTTCCGCACAGATTCATATCAGGACAACACCTAAAGTTGGGGGTTTTTTAGGGAATTAGGCCAAATTCTCAATATCAAAGATAGAGGAGAATTCTTCACGAGCCCCCTCGTCTCACTATGGAAAGGCACCCTCATGACCGATTATAGTGCACAAGAATGGATATTAAACTTACTCATTTGCAATATCCTTAAGTTAACGAATCTCATATCTCTTGTTTAAGGGATGTATATAGCGTTACATATCTCCCTTCAATGTCTCACGTACTGGTTTGAACTGTCGGGTTCTTTAGCATACTTACTTCCGATCTACATCAAAGGGGAAAATTGTCCAAAAAGTTCTAAACTTATTACACTTTGGCCAATTTAGTCCCAAACCTTTTGACACTTTGCAAATTGAGTCCATCAAGTCAATTTTAACCGCAAGTTGCTAACGTGGATGTCGATGGTGCCACGTAGGATGGCAGACGCTAACGTTCACAATCTTATTTCTTCTTTTCTTTCCTTCTTCCTCTAGTTGGCAAGGTCGACCTCACCCAGCCATTGGTGAGGCTTGACCTCACCATCACTGGATAAGGTTGACCTCACCCTGCCACTGAGGGTTGACCATCACCATATCCGGTGAGGGCGAGCCTCGACCTCGCTCAGCGACAGCGAGATCAAGGCTCGCTGGAAAGAAGAAGAAGGAAAGAAAAAAGAAAGAAATGAAAAAGAAAAAAATTATAATATATAAATTATAAAAAATTATTTAAAAAAAATTATCGATGTTAGTGCCGTCCATCCTACGTGACACTTACGGCATCCATGTTTGTGATTTCTGGTTAAAATTAGCTTAATGGACTCAATTGGCAAAGTGTCAAAATGTTTATGATTCAATTGGCAAAATTAAAATATTTAGAACTGCATTGGAAAAAGTGTGATAGATTTATGACTTTTTGGACAATTTTCCTTACATTAAAGCTTCCAAAATATGTTCCTGTTGGATTTCGTGCTAACCTTACACTCCTCGGAGAGGCCACAACCTTAGGGAACAAAATGATTTAGAGGAAGAAATGAACGGGCAAAAAGGAATGCGAAGAACAAAAAACACATAAAAATAAAGATGTTTAAATGCAAATGGCATAAAACAAAACATCCGTTCTAAGAGTCTAAGACATGAAGCGTTCAAACGAGTGACAGCTTCTCCAACACGCGACTCTAGTTACAGCCATGCACGTTCATAGATGATACCATCATCCCCAAATAAAACCTAAGTCCACCCTTGTTCTCACGACTTTCCACACCACGCCTCCATATAAATGCCCAAGCCCAACACACTCACTCCACCTCCATCTCCAACAACACAAAATAAACTTCATATACTCATCGAATTCTCACTTTCCTTTAAGCAATAACGGCTATGGCTTCCATTCAAGCCCTAGTTGCTTCCTTCTTCCTAGTTCTTGCCGTATCTGCAACAGCTCAGCCTACGTCATCGTCCCTCTGGGTTGGATTCTACAAATATACATGTCCTTCTGCCGAAGCCATTGTCAGAGACACCGTTTACAAGGCCTTTTCCAGTGATCCAGGGTTGGCAGCTGATTTCGTCCGGATGATTTTCCACGACTGCTTCGTTAGGGTAATATGCTCGATATGAACATATCCATTGAAAGATTTGTGCTTAGTTTTTACTTGGTTATTCATTTTCTTGATTTTCAAATAATGTGTCGGTGCATACTCAAATATCAGTTAAAATACATAGTTGCCAATTTAACACAGAGATATTCTAGAGATGGTATGGTACACAAAACCAATCTCAGAGTACAAGAAATGCATGAAAACATATGTATTTTTAGTGATGTTTAGTGTAAAATCTTACCTTTCCACGGTTGCTATTTTTACAGTGAAATGAATCTAAAGAATGATTTCTCGATGCACATGCATAGGCAGCAATCCATCACTAAGTTGCGCTTAGTTGCATACCTTCCTTACTTGAGCAAAGCTAGGTTTACGAAGATTAGTATACAAAATTCGTATATTAAGCCAGAAAGTAGAAGGATTCCAAGTGAAAACTAAAACAAGTGGGTAATAATCATATCTAATTCGAGTCTATCACGTCATGAAGGATATCGTATTATCTGATTTGTTATCTCTTCCCCATTGGTTTTAGGGCTGTGATGCATCCATCCTCCTAAATTCAACCAAGGGAAACATTGCCGAAAGAGATAGCCCAGTGAACAACCCTAGTTTAGAAGGTTTCGATGTCATCGACCAAGTGAAAGCCCGGCTCGAAGCCGCATGCCCACAAACTGTCTCGTGTGCCGACATCATCGCATTTGCAGCCCGAGACAGCATCTTCAAGGCCGGCGGAATCTACTATGACATCCCCTCGGGCCGTCGTGACGGTCTCATCTCCCTCGCCTCCGAGGTGACCCAGAACCTTCCTCCCCCGAGCTTCACTGTGCCACAACTCATCGCCAACTTCGCCAGAAAAGGGTTCTCGGTGGACGAGATGGTGACCCTCTCGGGAGCACACTCCATCGGCGTCTCTCACTGCACGTCCTTCTCGAACCGTCTCTATTCGTTCAACGCGACGTACAAGCAAGACCCGTTGTTGGACCCTAAGTATGCGGCCTTCTTGAAGACCAAGTGTCCCCAGAGCAATTCCAAGACGAACCCGACGGTGGCGCTCGACAGCATCACGCCCAACATTCTGGACAACAAGTACTATCAACAACTAATGATTTCTCGTGGGTTGCTCTCTTCCGATGAGGCACTGTACACTAGCATGTTGACGAAAGGGATGGTGTTGAACAACGCAAAATACGGCTCCGTGTGGGGGGCTAAGTTCGCGAAGGCAATGGTGAAGCTGGGCTCGGTCGACGTGCTCACAGGTATGCAGGGCGAGATTCGGAAAGTTTGCAGCCTCGTGAATTGAGCGTACTAACCATGCTGATGCGTTGCTTTATGCTTTTCTTCGGCAAAAAGAGATCAGCGGTTGTTCTTCATTCCCCGCGCATTATTTGTTTCGATTCTTTCGTATGTCTTTGAGGTTTGGCAAACTTGTGTAGCTTATGTTGTGATGTTTCTTTTCCGGTTCGGTTTGAATTTGTAATGGATGTTTTGCATCCGAAGGGATGCAAATGCTTGAGTGAACTGAAAAATATGGAGCGGAGGAATTTGATTTGAAGGGTGTTCCAAGTGGATTATTTCTTTTAATTTTTCAGCTGGGGTTTCAGCCAAGAAAACAATTCCTGGGGAAACTTAGAAAAGAGAACACATATGCACCTATGACATTATTTGTTGAAAAACGTGCTCGTTGAATAGAATATGAAAATGCTAAATTGAACGCTTTAGGGGAAGCAAGCGAACTTTAACGCTTCAAGAGGTGACCGATGAAATCGATCAACTTGCTTGATAATTAAGGGAAAAACAAAAGCTTGAATTTTCAAAGGGTAAAATTAATTCTTCCGCTTTATACTATCTACGTTTGATCCGTATTAGCATCAACCACAAGAAGAAAGTTGAACGATTTTTATTGAACTTATTTAATTGGCCCACAATTTTTTTAATTAATGATTAGTTGTTTTTCATGATTGAATAGATAGTCTGCTCTTTGAAATAATTTTATACCTTTTGTGTAGTTGATGCTTACTTCATTGGTATGTACGAATTACTTCATTGGTATGTAAGAATTCGGACCTGAGTAGGTCCCTATAAAAGGCTCCATCTAGGTCCTCGTCCAGACCTCGCAATAATTATGATGTAAAACTTCCAAAGAGAACGGATGAGAATGGTGGAGACGCCAATTATTATATAGTGCACGTGTAGACGTTCATACTCTCCATCGACAGGAAAGCACGGGGCAAACCAGGTGGGAGGTGCTAATTATAGTGGGATTATCTGCAAATGTAGCCCTAGTTTAAGGATGAACAAGAATAAACCTTGTGTCTCGATTTCTTTTTCTTGCTTTGTGCTCTCTATTTTATTGTGTTTGTGTGCCTAATCCTAACAAAAATAATATATATTATTGTTTTGATCAGATCAAAGTGAGGACGAACACATTCGAAAGACTTGCATAGTAAGAGTTTCAATCAGATTTTTGCCAAATAAGAAAGACTTACATTCGAAAATCAAACGTTACAAAAAACTTTATATTTGGAAAATAACTTGAACAATTTAAAAGGACACGTCGAAACAAATAAAGTCAAGCCAAGAATAAATATTAAGGACGAGAAATCACTTTTCCAATCTCCATCCTGCAAAAATCAAAGCTCTCTGGCACGTCCTCAATTCACAACACTGCACAGCTTCCTGATCTCTCCTTGATTACCAGTGAGCACGTCGATCGAGCCCATCTTCACCATTGCGTTGGCGAACTTCATGCTCCAACCAAAGCCGTTCTTCACATTGTTCACGACCATCCCCGAAGTTGAGGGACTAGTGTACAACGTCTCGTCTGAAGTCAACAAGCCGCGGAGCTTCAACAACTGAAGGTAGTAGCTGTTGTCCAAAGTGTTGGCTGTGATGCTATCAAGTGGCACGGTCGGGTTTGCCTGGTTCGCATTGCTCGGTGGCGGGCACTTGGTCTTCAAATAAGCGGCGTACGCAGGGTCCAAGGAAGGATCTTGGGCGAAGGTGACGTTGAACGCGTAGAGGCGGCTTGAGAAGGAAGAGCAGTGGGAGACTCCGATCGAGTGCGCTCCTGAGAGGGTCACCATCTCATCCACCGAGAGCCCTTTCCTAGCGAAGTTGGCAATGAGCTGTTGGGCATTGAAGGTTGGCGGCGGGAGGTTCTGTGGAACTTCCGCGAGGCGAGAGACGCGGCCGTCGCGGCGGCCAGCAGGGACGTTGTAGTATATACCCCCAGTCTTGTGGGCACTGTCACGGGCGGCGAAAGCGATGATGTCAGCGCACGAGACGGTCATGGGGCACAAGGCTTCAAGCTGGGCCTTGGCCTGATCGATGATTTCAAACCCTCGGAGGCTAGGGTTGTTTGCGGGGTGATCTCTTTCTGCCGGGTTTCCTGGGGTTGATTTTAAGAGCACTGAAGCATCACAGCCCTGAGATAAGTCTAATGAGTCAGTGATAGTATAGTAATCACAAAACAACTATCAACTTACCTAAAAGCAAAAACCCATATTTGTTACTTGGGATAATATTTGAATGCTCGAACAAATACAAAGAAACTATAAGCCTCATTATAGCAAACTTGCATTTCCAATACATATTTTATGAGCCTTAGCAAATTCTCTTAGCACACCTTTAACATTTTCCTTCTGATCATTGCAAGTAGGAAGTAAAGGGAATTACTGAAAAGAGAAGAGCTGGAAATTTAAAGAAATCGAAATAAGTTGATCAAGCCTAAACTTTTGAGCATAAATACTTTGTCGTACCCTAACAAAGCAGTCGTGAAAATGCATGCGAACCAGACCGGCCGCCATCCCAGGGTTCCTCGAGACTGCATCGGACACGGTTTTGCTGATGATAAGTTCTGCCAACGGGCAAGTATATAGGTAGTATCCCACCTTTAGGGGTGGAGCCGCCATTGCAGAAACCGATACAAAGAGAATCAACGCGAGCGCATGAAACCCCGCCGCAATGGAAGCCATGTTGCCGTAGAGAGGCAAAGTTGAAAAAGAGAGAGATATGCAGAGATGATGAGAATCCATATAGCTCTGTGCAAGCATTTATAGATGAGATAATGGAGTGGGTGTAAGCAAAAGGTTGATTGTTGTTGTTCCGAAGACAAAGGAACGTGTGGCGCTGCACTATGGAACACTACATGTTCTTCTTTTTTCGTTTATTTCTATAAAGAGATGCGATATATCTCTAAACAATATTAACATATAATTTTGTGACGAGATTAGGTTGAACAGTTCATATAGGAATAGTTCTCTCTTTGCTCCTTCCACGTTGTTTCCCTCCTTCCATTTGTAGTTTCTCTTTTTCATCTCTTTTTCCAGCTGACTTCCTTCCTAATTCTTCCATCGTTCTTGGATTTTTCTCGGAGGGTCAGCTTTTGCCAAGTCAGAAGTTAATGATATGAATTTGTCGAAAGATAAAGGTCAGGTGTTGAGAATGTGTTTAAGAAAACAACATGTCACAATTAACCGAATAATTAACTTTATAGGCATCGACACTCGACAGTGTCTATTCTATTTGGTCCATTTCATGTAAGAAATGGGTACACTTCTGTTTTAGTTTCATTTGTCCTGATAAGAGGGAGTAATCAATCCTTTGGGCTCGGCTAATATTCATGGATATAAATAAAATCTACCCCTTGCATGTGCATAATACTAGACTATATTTACAGGTTGGCAGGCCTACGTGATCAGATTATATTGAGTGAGGGATATTGTAATTCGAGCATCATTCAACTTTTTCGGCAGCTAATCCAAATGATATATACAATTTTGCAAGCTCTAACTTCACACAAGAAACCGGTGACTATCCAATGAGAAGAAGGGATGGATTTTGAAATTTCAAGAATATGATTAATGCTTCAAATTGGTGACTATTAATTTTTCATGCGTGAATGAGAGTACTTATGTAATTTATAATTGAAAGCATTAACAATCGAGATTTGTCGAAATAATAACAAGAACATTCTGTAATGTAATAGTATTGTCATAACTCTTACTCTATTTTTTTACATCATTTGGTTTTATAATGACACATGTAATGACTATGAGAGAAAATAGCATCAAAATTTTCAAATTGCCCTTAAAATCAGAATTAGAGGGGATATGATCATTATCATGTTCACAGTCAACCCTGATCCATTAGTTTTATACCCCATATAATATCAAATATATAAGATATCGTATCACATATTTACTTGTATTGTAATAATTTATTCTTGATTGTGACTAAAATATAAGGACATTACATGTGATAATACTATAATAGATAATTTATTATAGTAATTATCAATAGCCAATCAAGAATGTCACACCCCATTTATATAATCAAGACATTACAATTAACAAATATTTATAATATAATTTATGACTGTGATATAAATTTAATTGTATAACATCTCATTGTATTACATAAATACTATTCATTAGATTATTTACGCTATGATTAAAACAATAGTTATATAACATTTCAAGTATTCATCAATAGAATTAGTAATTCACGCTATCATTGTATCATGAGTAGTTTCATATTCGATTATGAGGATTTGGATAATCGTGCCTAATGTAAGCAATTATATGCTAATCATTGTATTGTGATTTCTTTCTAATATATGTATTACACCAATCGTGTAGTGATAATGTCAAAAAAATTGTAATTGGTGTTATCATAATTTCTATTATATATAATTAATACTGTAACATTGGTAGAGTGAGTAGGAGAAAATAGACGTGGATATCTTGGAAATAACTATTACGATCAAGTAATGATAGCTAAATGACTATTCACTTACGGTAATAGCAACTACAACGTAATTTCTGTGACAATCAAAGCTCCAGTGGCTATTACATGATCAAAGCTCGAATGGCTATTATATGCCCCCATATTATAGAAATCACGATGTAGTAGCTATTATTGTAAGTAAATACTACAACAGAAGCTATAACTGCAAGCAAACGCGTTCTAATTTTGGTACGAGTTGAGAAGGCTGTCATCAAATGACTAATGCAAGATTGCTGCCCACTATGCAATGAGAACATTTTTTTAGTAATTTGGAGCAACTTAAAATTGGTTGATGTGGGAACACAACCGTCGAAGCATCCACGTCTAGCTCCTTTTTACTTTGCTAATTATCATTATTGTCCTCGAGCAGCACGCGGGTCTTAAACAAGCTTAACAGGTATAAGGTACGGCAAATCACAACCTGGTCGAAGATCCGATACTTCTTCTTTTGTTAGGGTTATGAGGATGTGATTCAAATTTTATACTTAACAAAATCATTTGAGATCATATAGCAAAACGAAGCCCCTTCGCTGTCCCTCTATCTTCAACGTGCCCGTGCTGCATCGAGACTAGTTCAAAGTTTGAATAAGTTGTATTATTGTCAAGGAGATCCCAATCTTTTATTATCATTTGAGACGAAAGCGATAGTTCATTAATAAGATTTATTTTTCCTTAGTTTCTTCATTTTAGTATACAAGAGGCAATGATGCGAAACTGGCAAGTAAATTGTTGTGTCAAACGGAGGACTGTGTCATATTTTGTCATATCATTTTGGAAAATCACTTCTGCAAACTAATTTTGATCGGGTTTCCCACCTATCTCAAACTAAAACGGTCTTGAATGGATTTTGGATTTCTGGGGAAGCTTGGAATCCCATATGCAATAATTTGTTTTAGGTTGCGTTTGGTGCGGCATTTTAAATGAGTTTTGGATCTCTAAAAGCCTTGAGATAAGCACACCGAAAGTCTTAAAATTTGTCACGTTAATGCTTTAGAATCCTAAAACTTTCAAAAAATGCAATTAAGTCATAAAACTTGTGAAATTGATTTATGATTGATATACACTTATCCCAAAAGATTTTGAGTCAAAGCTAGCATTTTCAAAGTCCATTAAGCCAATGCAAATCTTACCTAGCCTAGGCTTAAAGTATTTCCATAATGCTAATGAACTTTTTTCTTCCGACTTTGACCTCATTAAACTTTCGAATTTCCAGTTTTACCCTCACCAATGTGCAACAGCAAGGTCAAATTTATCCGCCAGAGAGCTAAATCGGATGCCAACGAGCGAAATCTGGCATTGGTGGCCGTCGCCTGGGGTCCTTGACCTCATCTCGATTTCTCCGAGGTCATAATACCTCGAATTGGGGTCACTAGGGTCGCTCAACCTTAATGATGGTCGTCGGTGCTAGATCTGGCTCGCTGGCGTTCAACATGACCTCGGTGAGGGCCACTAATGCTAGATTTGGCTCACCGACGTTATTTTGGCCCCTGTTCAAGCCCTTCGCTTGAGCTGCCGGTTGCTAAGCTTCATTTTTTTTATTGAAAAAATATAACTAAATTCATTTATTAAGTGTAGTTTTTTCCAAACGCATTTAAACCAAAGTTGCTTCAATTACAATTTACGAAACACCTTCTATATTTCAAAAAAAAAACCATTTAACCTAAAGTTCTTTCCATTTCCCCAAAGGCTTTCCCTGCTCTAACAAACGCACCTTAGCCTTTCAACAAAAATTTTGGTTTTTAATTTTGCAAATCCTTAAACACAAAATCAATTATAATCTAGTGACCTTTTTAAAATAAAAATTACTATGGCTGATTTGAGGCAGGTTGTGGGTATCGACTATTTTTCTACCTAATTAGTTGACATGTAAAGATCTAACAAGAGTCAAGAAGAAAGTTCAATTATTGAACGATCCGAGGGACCCGAGAGACGTAGAGTTGCATTCTTCGTTCATGAAGATGCGAAAAATAACTCTATTTGCTCTAAATGATTGAAAAGATGCACTTCGATTGTATGACGCGAATTTGAAAATCTCATAGATGATGATGGCAAGTATAGGGCAAAATGTAAGTCGTGCGCACTAATTTATATGGCTAGCCGTGGGATAAAAATCTTTTTGCATCATTTAGCTATTTGTCCCAATCGAGAGCCAATGTTGATGATTCCATGGTACAATTGGACCAAGTTGTGTTTAGAGACATCCTAGCACTATCCATAATTAAACGTAAGTACACATACTTTTTTGTGGAACTTGAGGCTACTAAAAAGTTGCTTAGTTACCTCAACCTCAATGCAAAGAACAAATCAAGGAATACAACAATAAATGATGGGCTATAAGTTTATTAGAAAGAGACGGGAAATTTCAAAACAAATTTAGTGTCACTTTCGAGCCTAATATATTTGACTTCTGATCTATGGATTTCCGTCACAACCGATCATTATATGAATGTCAATGCCCATTACGTAAATGAGGATTGGGAATTGCATGCAAATCTTATGTTTCTTCTATGTGCTGCCTCCATATAGTGGTGCCATTCTACGGGAAAAATTGCTCACTTTGTCAAGAGAGAGTGGGGCACCGAGAGAAAGCTTTCCAATACTACATAAGATAATTTGGAAAAATACACCACTTATGTGGTCCTCTTTGCTATGTGATGGACAATTTTTTCATATGCCTTTTGGTGCAAATATATTGAAGACATGTCATCCGTGAACTTTTAATTTGTTCAATGTAGTTCATGAACATGTTTAATTTAGTCCCTGAACTATATAAAATGTTCAATGTTGTGCCTGAGATTGAATTAACGGAAGGACAACATTGAGCATTGAATTAAATTGAACACGTATAAAAAGTTTATGGATCACACTAAACAAATTAAAAGTTCAGGGACGACACTGCACATCAAGCCAAAGCTCAGGGACCACAATAAAAAAGCCGAAACTTCAAAGACCACATTGTACATTGAGTCAAAATTCGAAAAATTATTCGTGCCATCATCCCTTTTTTTATCTGTTATGAATCATACAGTTTATTCGAACTTTCGGCTCGATTAACCTCTATAACCGCGTGGAGACCCCAAGGTTACTTTTTGAATGGAGGAGTACTTAGGATGCAATTGTGCATGCAACAATGCGACTCTCGAGTTGGATGGGATGGATGCCATCATGTCATGGTCTCGAATACTACTTTGAGCGGATCAATGCACTACGGGCTTGTCCGGCCCATCTCGGTTCCGACGAGCCCATGGGCCCAATTATAACCCAACAAAGCCCAAGCCCCCAAAAAAAGCCCAAGCAACCAGCAAAGCCCACGTTGTCCTCCTCTCCATAAAAACCCTAACCCTAGCCGATTACCACCTCCATCGCATTCTCTCCCTCTTCCTCTCCCTCCCCCTCTCCCATCGCGGTCTGCATCGGGCCGGCGAAGATGCAGATCTTCGTGAAGACCCTGACGGGGAAGACGATCACCCTGGAGGTGGAGTCCTCCGACACCATCGACAACGTCAAGGCCAAGATCCAGGACAAGGAGGGCATCCCCCCCGACCAGCAGCGCCTCATCTTCGCCGGCAAGCAGCTCGAGGACGGCCGCACCCTCGCCGACTACAACATCCAGAAGGAGTCCACCCTCCACCTCGTCCTCCGCCTCCGCGGCGGCGCCAAGAAGCGGAAGAAGAAGACGTACACCAAGCCCAAGAAGATCAAGCACAAGAAGAAAAAGGTCAAGCTCGCCGTCCTCCAGTTCTACAAGGTCGACGACTCCGGCAAGGTCCAGCGCCTCCGGAAGGAGTGTCCGAACGGCGAGTGCGGCGCCGGCACCTTCATGGCCAACCACTTCGACCGACACTACTGCGGTAAGTGCGGCCTCACCTATGTCTACCAGAAGGCTGGCGGTGATTGAGATATAGAGATAGGAGATTGAGATAGAGAGTTCAATTAAGGATTATAGCCGTAATATCAGACTGATTTAGCTCATGATGCTTCCATTTTTGCGGTTCTCGGTGGTTGTGGAATTTGGGTGCCGATATTCAGCTTCTTGAATGACTCCTTGCGAATCATTTTGCTTTAGCTTTGACTGGCTCCTTTTGATCTCTGTTCTTTTGGACTTTGATTCTGATGCCTTGGTCAATGAACACTCTTCTGACCATTGTCATGAATGCTTTCTGGGATGTGCACTTGTTGGGTTGAGAAGATAAAGAGCTAGATTCATTCAAAATCCAATCTTGCGAGGCCGCAGTAGTGGCCCGATGATGCGATCGAATAGAGACCTTCACGGGCTGTCATGGCTGCTCCCTCCTCAATCGGTTGCTCTTAATAGACCTTTTTGTATCTCCGTCTGGGATATGAATGTGCTAAGATAATTTTTGGTTATCTTTCTCGGCTCTTCGTCTTTCGGCTTGTCGATTCGCACAATTGGATTTGGTTTCCTAGAAGTAATGGAGTTGATGTAATGGGTTTGTCTGGACAAGAAGCTCTAAACTATGTGCAGGCGGGTGTGTTTAGTCGAGACCGTGAATGGCGTTCCTTTCTGCTTTTATATCAGAAGGTTCTGGTTAGCAGCAGCAGTCAGTAATAGACCTCCTCTGAATATTTCTCCTTGATCGTGAGGTGATTGCCTAGTATTTTCCGCTAAAGTTGCTTCCATATGCGGTTTTTGTAGTTGTCATAGCTGCTATCGTCGATCGACAATATAATCTTAGCCCTCCTTTATCGTAAGCATCTTGCTCCTACGAATAGACCTCTGGATATTTCTCCTTGATCATGAGGCGATGGCCTAGTATATTTTGCTAAAATTGCTTCTGTCTGCGGCTTTCTAGTTCTCATAAGCTGCTGTCGTCATTTGACAATGTAATCTTAGCCCTTCTTTATCGTAAGCATCTTGCTCCTACGAATTAGCTCCTTTCCTAATGACCATCATCAGCCGCTTTCATGACTTCTCTCCATTTTTGGAGTCCACTGTCATTGGAATTCATCAGCTGCAGGTATCAATGCGGTTCTCCGGTTTAGAGCCTAAGCATCTCTCCCGCTTATGGCTGCCTTTTTATCGTATTAGTAATTCGTGGACTAAGTGTGTATCTCGACATTAGATGCGATGAAATCTGCACGAAGCTCTTGCACCTGGAACAGATTCTCTTCTCTGTTGCTTTAGGTTAGCTTTTGAGTTGAAAGGTTCTCTTGTATATGTGATTGATCTAATATCTTGATTTTCAGCGTTATGCTTGGTGCACCTGGCTTATCTTGATTTTCTACCTTGTCCTTTACTCTAGTGTCCTAGTAGCTTTAAACTTTGTTGTAATTAAAATGCATGTAAGAGGATCAACCGATACAATTAGCTCTGTCGAAATGTGGTACGATGATGAACAGGATTATAATGTTCCTCTTGTGTTCTCGCAAAAGCTGTACTTGGTCAGCACTGACGAGCATAGGCACTCCGACTACAATGGATGTCGATGGTCGATGAAGCAACCCACTTAGTCTATCGTGAGAAATTAAGAAATGGGTTGCTGAGATCATTTTGCTTCTTGAGGAGCAGCCGATTGATCGGTCGGTAAATCGGAATTTCTCGTGCCTCATTTTGCAAACTTCGGGAGTCGAGCGCACCCCGATACCATTCGGACAAATACCGAGAATACGCACTTTTCACATGATTGATCGATCGGCAGAGGAAAGTGCTGGTTTGCAAACTGGCGTAGTGGTAGGCAACTGCTTCATCCGACAGGACAAAATGAAAGGCTCATCGTCGAGGTTAGAAGCTAGGTTACGGGTGCCGAAACCTTTTGATAGTGTCGGGATCGCCTCCTTCGACCCTTGCGAAATCCTAAAGGAGCGCCAACATGAAACCTAGAATCCATCGCGATGTCGCGGTGGGGCTCTCTAGTTGTTCCTCTCCTTCCCTCTCTCTTCAACTGTCTGTGGCAACTCTCCAGTTCCAGAGGTTGGTTGTCCATTCTCCTACGCTATGTTTCGACAACGAATGTTGTCGTCTGATTCTCGTACTCATTCCTATTGGATGGATCCTCTCGTTGGCTCTGTTGTTTCGTCCACCTGTGGCCATTCCTTAAAACAAATCCAAATGCAGGGTTTGCTCACGAATCTCAAAGCAAATTGCATTCGCAGAGCTATCTTCAAAATTGCAACCCAGCTAGGTTTTCAATGCAATTGTTAATTCCGTGCGAAGGGTTTGCGATCGAAACGCTGACTCACGGCCCTGATTCTGGAGAAAGATGTAAAGATGTTGGAAGTTCTTGGGCTTCCGGGCGACGCCATTATGCGAAATATGTGGATACATTCGTGGCACTCATCGGCCATCCTATATCATGCAACTTTTACAGATCAAAAGTTACCAAGCACATGAATATCGGTAACTAAAAATCAGTCACAGAGTGGTAATCATTTTGTTCATTAAGGTCGATAGCCCTGGTGGATAGTTTTCGTGTTTCTGTAAGGTCTTACCAATTACATAGTCATCGGGAAAAATTAGTGATATATGTCTGATATGTTTTGGAGATATAAAATTAGGGGTAAGTGCATTGGAGTTCCAAAACTTGTCATAAAAGTGCAATTGAGTTCTAAAATTTTCAAAAAATGCAATTAAATTCTAAAATTGGTCGCAAAAATGTAATGGAGTCTTCAAACTTTCAAAAAGTGCAATCGAGTCCTACAAATTTTTCAAATTAGTCGAATCGAGTCCTTCCATCAATTGTAATTTTTTTTATAAAGTTTTAAGAATCGATTGCTCTTTCAATTACAGTTTTTTGAAAATTTTAGAATCAATTGCATTTACGTAACAATTTTGAGGGCACGACTAATGGTTTCATCCCTCCGAGCCCCCGTGGGGGCAGAAATGTAATTCCCCAATCCCAAGGCCCAAGCCCACGTTTCTCCTCGAAAACCCTAACGTACGCATCTTCCCTCCTCGTCCGACACAAACCCTAGCCGATCTTCCCCCCAACACAGGCCATCACCGTCTCTCCCTCTCTCTCTCTCTGGTGTCTGCATCGGGCCGGCGAAGATGCAGATCTTCGTGAAGACCCTGACGGGGAAGACGATCACCCTGGAGGTGGAGTCCTCCGACACCATCGACAACGTCAAGGCCAAGATCCAGGACAAGGAGGGCATCCCGCCCGACCAGCAGCGCCTCATCTTCGCCGGCAAGCAGCTCGAGGACGGCCGCACCCTCGCCGACTACAACATCCAGAAGGAGTCCACCCTCCACCTCGTCCTCCGCCTCCGCGGCGGCGCCAAGAAGCGGAAGAAGAAGACGTACACCAAGCCCAAGAAGATCAAGCACAAGAAGAAAAAGGTCAAGCTCGCCGTCCTCCAGTTCTATAAGGTCGACGACTCCGGCAAGGTGCAGCGCCTCCGGAAGGAGTGCCCGAACGGCGAGTGCGGCGCCGGCACCTTCATGGCCAACCACTTCGACCGCCACTACTGCGGTAAGTGCGGCCTCACCTATGTCTACCAGAAGGCTGGCGGTGATTGAGATATAGAGATAGAAGGTTCAATTATGGACTCTGTAGCGGTACTGGTTTTGGCTTATGTTGCTTTTGGATGTTGATTGTGGGATTTAAAGTTTGGATTTTGGAGCTCAAAGTTAACTTTTTGAGTGAAAATCGTTATGAAACATTTTGCTCTAAAGCTTAACTCGCTTCTCTCAATTGGAGTTTGGTTGAGATGACTTGATAAGTAGTGAATGTGCTTCTGATCATTGCCGCCATTGCTTTCTGCAATATCGGTCTTTCGAAGACTAGGAGCAAAGTGTATTCAATGTAATGGTTTTTGAGTGATTTGCGTTCGGTCATTGCCGATATGCGCCTCGATCGCTCGCTCTTGATAGTGGAAATTTGTAGCCTCCTTGAATGGAAATTTGGTTCGTCAATCGATTAGATTGAATGCTCCGAGTATATCTGGACTAGGTCTGGACTATGAACACCAGGTGTCATGTATGTGTTTGTCTCTGTTTCTCCTGTCTAGGATGGATCCTAACAGTCGTGTGTAATTTCTTTCCATGCTCCGTTCGTGAAATATGAACGATGCGAAAAATATTTTTGCTTATATTACTTGCAAAAATGAATTAATGAAAAATATTTTCATGGTTCACGAAAATGTTTAGACATCGGTTGTTGTTGATAATGAAACATTTTCAATTGGATAATTATTTCAAGCAACACAAGCGATCATTTTTTGGAAAATATCTTTCAAATCGTTCATTTCCCATGAAATAAATGGAGACTCAATCTCTCTTGGCTTTCATGAGGGGATTACCTAGTATAGTTCATCAAAGTTGCTTCATTTTAGATGGAGCTGTCTTAGTTGTTTGATAATAGGATTCAACACTTGTCTCTTGTGGGCATCTCTCTTGTATGAATCTGCTCTGGACTCTGGTTTTAGCAATCTTCGTTAATTAGATCTTACGAATTAGCTGTAAGAGACCATCAATAGCAAAATTCATCAGCTGCAGTTGATGATGTGTGGTGCTCTGGGGGCACTTGTTATTCTCCTGCCCGCAGCTGAGCAAATTTCGGTATTACATTGTGAATCTCTATTGCCATGAGACAGCAATGTCGGATTTCCAAGATGGCTGAACAGAAACCAAATGTATGATTAGTCTAATTCAATGATCTACATGCTTTTTTCGACATTAAATGTGGTCGAATCTTCAGTAAGCCCTTGCATCCAGAGTGCAAGAGCTTGTAGATTTTGTTTCTCATGTTGCTTTAAGCAGTTCATATTGCTCGCTTTAATAGATTTTTTCCTGTTCATGATCGACCAGATTTCTTCTTCTTTGGCAGTATACTTAGTGCAGTAGGCAATTTTTTAGCTTGAGAATTGGTCAGATTTAGTCAGGTTGTGGCTCTCTTGTGGCTGCTAAGAATTGCACAGGTTGTGTTACATACTTTGTAGTGTAGGAGGGTAGTGCTCATGGAATTTCCTAAGGTACGATAATATAAATGTTGGGCCAAATACAAAAAGAACTTCCACGTTTTACTGCCGCGACAAATTTTAACGTGACCCTTCACAAAGAAAAGCACAACCTTTTACCATCATGACAAATTTAACACGACATTTCAAAGCATAGAGAAAACTGCTATGTCTTTTACCACTGTGACCAAACTAATGTCCTTTGATATTCGGTCAATTCTCAAGGTTATCTTGTCTACGTGTCGGTCCACTTGACTCTCATTGCGTTGTCAACTAGTATTACCCCATTCTCCACCCCTCAAATATAGTCCGCTTCAATCTTAATATCAATTTCATGGTGTCTCCTCAACAACGAGATCACATTGTCTTCTCTAAACATGCGTAAAATATTCTCTAGGTAAAATAGGTCCCCATAGATTTTCTCATAATCTCGGATAAAGGTTCGGACCTTCCGATCATGGACGAAATATTGTGCTGTTTTCATCACATAGGCCGAAGCTTGTGCATTTCTTATGGTAAGTTTGAAAGGTCATGTTAAATTTGTATCAACGGTAAAAGTTTGGGCTTGGGCTTTTCTCTTCTTCTTTTTTTCTCTTCGGCAGTTGGCTCAAGTGTTGTATTGTAGAAATGTACTAAGTTTTCAGAGGCAATCTCTATACCTGTCAATGAGCGCCCAATCCGACATTATGGTTTGGATCTAAACTTTAGCACAGTTTTCGTCCATCGAGATTGACATAGTTTTAGTCATCCAGACTGCTTTTGACATAATTGAGGCAAGGGGATCATGCTTTTAATCTTAACTAAGCAAGTGCAAAACTTCATACATAAAATGTGTGTGTTTATTTTACCTAGTTTTGTCGGAAGAAGATCCCTCTTGATAGAGTGACACGAGTCGTTCGTTTGAAATCAAGATGAATGTATTGCAATGTCATTTGATTGCTTCAGATATATGGGGGCTTTCTAAGATCCCCAAGCCAACCAAAACAAGTGCAAAATGGCTTTGATAGCAAACTGATGGATTCATCAATAACGTAGAACAGAACACAACAAGAACGAATCGTTGCTAAAGAGTTATTTCATCTCAAAAGAGGGTGACGTAAGGTGACGCAATTCATCCTTTACAAAAAAATTCGACCAATGACAATTTACTATGATGAAATGGGCCGAAACCTTTAGTAGAGATGCCAATTCAATTCTAAACCTTTCAATTGTGTCAATTAATTATAAATTTTTCAACTATGTCAATTTAGTCCTAAACTTTTTGACGATTTGCCAATAAAATTTTAAACCTTTTGATGATTTTTCAATATAGTCCTTCCGACCAAATATCCAAATAATAGGTTTATAACTAAATGGCACAAAGAAAGGTTTAGGGCTAAATTGGTAAATCGTCAAAATGTTTATAATCGATTGTGAATACATTCTCATTATTATTATTATTATTATTATTTATTGAAAAAACACTTCGATCGCAATACATTCTGGATCATTCTCATTATTGAATAATGATAGAGCAAAGAAATTTGCTTTGTTGTAATAGATAAATAACCGAGCACTATGCTGAGATAAAATTGCTTCTTGACGATAAGTCGATTGATCAGTCGACAAATGGGTGTTGCTCGTACCTCATTTTGCAATCGTCGAGAAGTAATTGCGCCCCAATACTGTTAGGGCAAATATCGAGAACTTTGCTTTCACAGAACTAACACACGTGACGCAATCGGGAGAGGGAATTAAGTTCTGGATTGCAGGTGGCATGGCCGTACGCAACTGCTTCCAGATAAGGAGACGTGGTGTAATAATCGAAGCCAAGGTGGTTAGGTGTCACGGTCTCTAAATCTGACAGGCTCTGAAACTATCGCCCTTGTGTTGCTAGATCACAGGCTCTGCGGCATTGCTTGTGTGCAAAGGAGCACAAGGAGGAAACCTAGGAAACCTAGAATGCGTTGTGAAATTGCCATAGCTCTCTCTAGTTATTCTTCTCCTACTCTCTTCTACTGTCTGTGAAATTCAAGTTTGTGTGGGCATTTGAAGGGACTGGGCTTCTATATTCGTCGCTATTTGAACAACGATTGGTTGTCTGATTCTAGTGTTCATCATCCTATTGGATGGATCTTCCTTCTGGGTTGTATTCTTTTGTTCTCTACTTGTTTGGCCATTGTTTACCAACCCTCCCACGCAGGACTTGCCTCATCCATTTGTTAAATTATTTTCGAAGTCATTGCAATTGACAGAAACTATCTGCACCTTGCAAACAGGCAAGAATTCAAGGCAATTTGCGTTCCCCATTAGTTATTTTGCATCTGCACTGTGGCATTTACCATTTATGCCTACCTTCGTGTCTCCTCTTAATTATCTGCCTCTCTCTCTCTCTCTCTCTCTCTCACACACACACACACACACACACACACATTTTGGTGCACGTTGAAGCAGTTGTTGGCTCATTTTTTGGGGCAACTGGTTCTTCCAGAACTCGTGGTGGCCATAATTTTTTCAGGTGCGACCACATTGATCATTATATACTGTAAACTTCCTTGTCATGTTCGAAAGGTTCCCTATGAAAACAACAAAAGCTTATTTGAATCATATTATGTAGGCCATATGAATAGTTGACACACCACATCAACAGCGCAACTGACGCATAAAATACTTTTTTGCTTCCAAAGCACGAATCATGCACCTATCTCCTTAAAAAAAATTTAGAACGTGAAGCAAATAGTTCCTTAAATTCTGTGTGAAGAGTTCGTGATCGGTTACTACAGTAAAAACAGAAGAACATGAGTTCAGATTGAGATTAGTCTGACAATTCATGCTGGATTTGTTTTGCTTCATCTAACTCGGTTCTTAAATAAATGTGGGACTGAGAACTTTAATTTACCGGTGAAAACCCAAAAGAATGAATAGGAAAGGTAATTTGTGGGAACACAGTTTGACATGAACACAATTCAGCAAGGACATATAGTTTTCAAAGGTAGAAAGCTGTGGCCCAAGCAAACCTTGCCGTGGAAATAGCATTCCCATCAAAATCAATCACCATTAACAAAATACACCAACTACATAGACACAGTCACTCATTCCTCATAACCTAGAATGTTATTTTTCCCTCCAAAACAGTTGGTAGCCACCCTTGTTACCTATGTATGTGGACACATTTCGTAGATGAAAAGTTATGATGTACAAAAAAAGATTTATCGGGTTACAAAGGGTAGGCGTGGTTAGAATTAGTATGAAATTATTTTGCACGGTAAAATTTTTGACGTCTTATGATGACATGACTTGAAGACATTAGTGCATATAGGAAAATATGTGTAAAAGAAGGAAAGATGTTGCATTGGTTACTTCTTCACGATGGTAGTCACCTTCTCGAGTATTTTCTGCAAGTATTGGAAGGTAAACCGAAAGCCGAAGATTTTGGTAGACAAATAGTAATAACAAAAAGAAGTACACCGACCATGTCCTCATGGCTTGATAGCAAAGCTGATGAATTTACCGTCGACGGAGCATAAGAAGAAGGAATTGCGAGGTTACAGAAAACAAACCGATCACAATCATCCTCCAAGATGGAACTGAAGTTACAATGATTGAGGATGTTGCCAACTTTCCCTTCATTATTCTCACATAGCAACAGTAGATATTCGTTATTGGTGGAGCAAAACAGTTTGCTTTAGCACAAAAAAACTGAAGATCCTATCTGCTTGTTACTAGCCACTGGTTGATCAATCGGTGAACGGGTACTGTTCATACCTCATGCTGCAATCTTGAAGGACCAATTGTGCACCGATACTGCTAGGACAATTATTGAGCAAATGTGCTTTCACGTAACTGACGCATGTGGCACAGTCGGGATAGGAAAGCCCTTGATTGCAAAATGCGTGGCCATAGGCAAGCGCTTCTGGATAAGGAGATGTTATGAAATAATTGTAACCTGGGTGGTTGGGTGTCACGGTCTCCAAGGCCGAAAGTACGTATGATAGGCTATAAGCAAAAGGATCACTGGCTTGGTACGTAACTTGATTACAGGCTGCAGATGTTGCACTCGTGTCTGGATCGCCTCTCGCGATGTTGCCAATCCAAAGGAGCACAAACATGACACCTAAAATTCTCTGTGAAGTTGCCATAACTCTCTGTACTTGTTCTTCTCTCTTGCTCTCTCTTGAACAGTGGCTCAGAAACTCGGAATGGCTGGGTATTTAGAAGGGACTCTTTTTGTATGTTTCTTGCGTTTCAACAAAGGTTACTTGGGTCTGATTCTAGTACTTCCCCTGTTGGATGGATTATCCTAATTGGTTCTACTCTTTTGTATCTACTTGTGGTCATTGTTTTGAACAATGCAATTATGGACTTGCATTCTTGATTAGTTCATTTTTTCGAAGCAATTACACTGACTTCTAACTTCAACTTGTGAACCATCAACTTAGTTTTATGCACCGCATTATGCCATTTTCTGTCTCTACCTTAATGTCGCCTTCTCTAAATTCATGTTGTTGTCATTTCAATTAGTTCACATAACTGATACATGTGACACAATTGGCAGAGGGAAGATCTTGATTGCAAGTGGCGTGGCTGTAGGTGACTGCTACCGGAGGAGACTTGGTGTAATAATCGAAGCCAGGGCAGTTAGGTGTCACAGTCTCTAAATCCGACAACACATATGCTAAACCATGAGCGAAAGGGTGATCACCCTGGTAAGTCGCTAGATTACAGGCCCTGAACCTTTCACTTGTGTCCGGATCGCCTCTTGCCATATTGCAAAATGCAAATGAGCACAAGTAGGAAACCTAGAATGAGCTGTGAAGTTGCCATAGCTCTCTCTCTTGTTATTCTTCTCCTAATCTCTTCAACTGTGTCTATGAAATTCAATTGAGTGTGGGCATTTAAAGGGATTGGGTTCCTATATTTCTTCGCTATTTGAACAATAATTGGTTGTCTGATTCTAGTGTTTATCTTATTGGAAGGATCTTCCTTTTGGGTTGTAATCTTTTGTTCTCTACTTGTTTGGCCATTGTTTACCAACACTCCAATGCAGGACTTGCCCCATCGATTTGTTCAAAAATTTTCAAAGCCATTGCAATTGACAGAAACTATCTGCACCTTGCAAACAGGCAAGAATTCAAAGCAATCTGCATTCTCCATTAGTTATTTTGCATCTGCACTGTGGCATTTTCCATTTATGTCTATCCTCATGTCGCCTTCTCCTAATTTTTTGCCGCCTCTTGATCACGTCTATTTGAATACAATACTCTCTCTCTCACACACGCACATTTTGGTGCACGTTGAAGCATTTGTTGGCTCAGTTTTGGGGCCTACCGGTTCTTTCAGAACTCGTTGTGGCCATGGTTTTTTCCGGTGTGACCAGATTGATCCGTACATACTGTGAACTGCCTTGGCGGGTTCGTAACGTTCAAAGTTACGCAGAAAAGTCGATGTGCGGCTTTATGAATCGTCAATGCACCCTATCAGCAGCGCAACCCTCTGCATAATATATTTATCGGCTTCCAAAGCAATATTCATGTGTCAAGGGCCAGCAGTTCCTTGGCCGCAGAAAACCCGTGCAACGCCTGGTGCGTTGTTCACACTAGGTCAGCCCTCATTTACTAGTTGTTCCAATAAACGATACAGCGAATAGCTTCCTCGTATCGGATCGTACCACGTTCAGCATAGCTCGGGCGCCTAGTCCATCAAGCGAGACACATAGAATACTTTAAGTACAATAACTGATTTCGGCTTGCCATGGCATCATCAGTATAACGACATTAGCTCCTAACCAATTTGTTCATGGGAGACTAACTCCGCCTTCAGAGCTCTTAAGTGTATATTCGTTCCATCCTAAAACTCCTAGCACCAACTGTTCTGACACCATTCCCACAACCCCCAGTTGCATTTCATCCCTTCTATGTCATCACTCTTCACTTGATAATCCCAAGCACCACTTACAAGGATACAGGAGTATGAGAGAATCACGGTCCGTGACACACGCACGTATCTCCTAAAAAATTTTGAGGATGGGAAGCAAATAGTTCCTTAGATTCTGTGTGTCAGAGTTTGTGAGCATGACGAGTTCAATTCATGCTGAATTTGTTTTCCTTCATCTAACTCGATTATTGAAATTATGTGGTACTGAGAGCTGTAATTTACCAGAGAACACACAAGAGAATGAACAGGAGAGGGAATTTTTGCAAAACACGGTTTGACTTGGCCACAATTCTCAAAAGTAAGAAGCTGTGGCCCCAAGCAAATGTAGCTGTGGAAATAGCATTTCCATCATAATCAGTCACCATTAACAAAATACACTAAACTACATAGAACCCATTCCTCAGAAGTTGAATGTTACTTTTCCCTTCAAAACAATCGCTAGCAGCATAAAGAAGCTACTTGTTAACCGTTAAAAATATGGCTCGAATTTGAGCCCGTGAACAAAAACCCTACCCGAGATGAATTGTTATTAGCAGACGTTTAAATGTGTAATAAAAATCCAGATATCCTTTGCGATGTTAGAGTCCGTCCAAATTGGAGAAGCATTTCGTGTTTTGTCTTGATATCAAATTAATGTGCAAAAGATGTCGTCCAAGCAAATATAAAAGGAATCAAATCGGTCAAGAAATTTAAAATATAAAAGGATTTCCTGTTTTGTCTTGACTGAATTTGGGTTCTGAATATGGATATATTCACAAGCTCGGACTTGAGCTGTCCGTTAGCGATCTTCCTCCGAATGAAGGTATCGGGCTTTTACCGCTTGCATCAACAGCGTACGTCGACACATTTCATTTACAAAAAACTAATAAGCACATGAGCAAATTATGAGAGGCGGCATTAAATTACGAAAGACTAGGTGTGGTTAGAATTAATATGAAGTTACTCAGTAGGGTAATTTTTGACATCATACGACGAGGTGACCAGCTTCTCCAGTATTTCTGCATATATTGGAAGGTAAACCAAGGCTTACCCCGAAAAACAAAAATGGTAACAGCAAAAAGAAGTAAACCAAATATGTCTTCGTGTCTTGATAGCAAACCTGATGCAATTTTTTTCCGACATTGTAAACAGAACATAAGAAGAAGGAATTGTAAGGTCGCACCTTTCACCAAATTGCAAAAAGCAAACCGATCATAATCAAACTCCAAGATGTAACTCAAGCTACAGTGATTGAGGATGTTGCCAACTTTCCCATCTTAATTCTCACATAGCAACATTAGACTTTCGTTATTGGTGGAGCAAAACAGTTTCCTTTGGCACAAAGAAAATGAAGATCCGAGTAGCTTGTTACAAGCCGCTGGTCGATCAGTCGGTGAACGAGTACTGTTCGTACCTCATTCTGCAATCGTGGAGAACTAATTGCGCTCCGACGCTGCTAGGACAATTATTGAGCAAGTGTACTTTCACATAACTGATGCATGTGACGCAGTCGGGATAGGAAAGCGCTGGATTGCAAGCTGCGTGGCCATAGGCAGCCGCCACTGGATAAGGAGACGTCGCGTAATAATCGTAACCCGGGTGGTTGGGTGTCACAGTCTCTAAGGCCGAAAGAACATAGGCTAAGCTATAGGCAAAAGGATCACCGGCTTGGTACGTAGCTTGGTTACAGGCTGCGGATATTTGGCTCGTGTCGGGAGCGCCTCTCGCGACGTTGCCGATCCAAAGGAGTGCAAACATGAGACCTGCAATCCTCTGGGAAATGGCCATAGGTCTCTGTATCTGTTCTCTTGTCTTGCTCTCTCTCAACCGTGGCTCAGAAACTCAGAATGCTTGGGGTATTTAAAGGGACTCTTTTTGTATGTTTCTTTGCTGTTTCTTCTACAAGGATTACTTGTGTCTGATCCTAGTACTTATGCTGTTGCAAGATCCTTCGGACTGGTTCTATTCTTTTGTCCTTAATAGTAATCATTGTTTACAACAATGCAATGCTGTATATGCATTCTCGATTTCTTCATTCTTTCGAAGCAATGATCTTGACATCTAACTTAACGTCGCCTTCTCTAAATTAATTCTATTATTCAAATTGAAGTACGGTTTTCGCCGCCTCTCTCTCTCTTTCTCGCGGGCGCGCACACCTACCCACAATTTAGTTAATGAATATTGGTGTTGCATGGGAATGTAAATAGTGGAGTCAGGGATAAGTGGTGTCGTCGGGAAATGCCGGTCCAATCGAAACTGTTCGAAGGTACCGGGAACAAGAAAGCAATAAGGCAGCGGTTGACGGGCTATGGGGTCATGAGGTTGAAAGTACGAACGCGAATGAAAAGAAAATAATTGAACTGACATTTTGTTATTTAGAATAGAAAATGATAGTTATACACCAGTATTCCTGATACAATGTAAGCTTGAGCACTTGATTATCTGTAAACTGTCCCCAAGGAGTGCGAATCACAAATCAGGAGGAAAAGGATTCGAGACTCGATCCTCCTTGCGTGTATGAAGTCTCGTAGCATGTAAGTAAGGCCATTGAGCCGAAAAGGATGAAACTAAAAGAGTAGGAATTGTAAAAAGGAGACCCACCTCTCGACGAAGAAATAGTCGCGATGCAGAGAATGAAGCTAACACGACCTCACAAAACAATGGGGAAACAATCTGGGAAGAAAAGAATTTTTCGCCCTTATGATCAGAGCGTATACATAGTAGCAAGGAATGTGAAGCACTGCGAGGGCAAAATACCTACAGATATAAACAGAATTAGCAAGAACATGTCCATCGATCTATTCCAGGAAAAAAAAAGCGACAGAGTCGGGAGAAAATAAATGTACCATAGAGGAGCCCACGGTATTGATAGAACAAGAAAAGGATATGGCCACCTGTAGAGGCTCAATTTATGTTAGAGAATCATCATCGAATAGAAATTTATGAAGATTTGAATCAAAAACAAAAAAAAAACAAAAAATCGAAGTCTATGGAGAGAAGCAAGGAAGAAGCTGTGGAGAACTAGCTTTACCATAAAAAACCACAGGCATGGATGACCCATTGAAAAATGACATAGATAGAGCTCCAGAGCGTGAAGTATGCGAACCGGAACCATGGGAATGGCTGGAACATTAGATGCAAACAAGGATTATAAAGCTGGTGAAAGAGGAAAGAAGCAGCTCCAGAGTGTATAATAAGCTAAGATATTTCAGGGATATGCTTCTGGTATGCAAGACTTACAAGGCTGTTGAGCGCAGTATCAACTAGTAGGAAGAAGGCATTCAGTGTGTGCATGCATCCCATCACCTGTCAAGAAGACATTGCATATGTTAGAAGAGATATTGTCATCCGGGCATGAAGTTCAGTTAAGAGCCAGCCCTAAAAAGAATATCAACTGCTGAGGTGCAAGATGCTCCGAAGATCAGTGCACGGGAACCAAACAAACAATTGTATTGGGCATGCATCCCACTTACTGTGGAGATATCAATAGCACCCACTTTGCAACTACAACAAATTGCAGTGTTTTTTGGTCATATACTAAACTTGCGATGTATAAGTTAAAAGGCAGGTAAACAAAAGTTTTTGGAACCAGCAGAACATCCAAAACACAATTTGAGCGCCTTGCACTTAAAACACAAAAAGGCCTCGCCCTATAGGAGGTAGAAGGAACTGCAGTGCGAAAAACTTGAGAGATGCAAATGAAATTACTTGATTTCTCGTTCCTTTGACGTCAGGCATAGTGTACATGAAGAAGGCACTCACCACATTCAGGCCAAGACGTTCTGTAGACATGAATGGGACTATCACGCACCAAAAGATAACATCTGTCATAACTACAGCTCCTGCACAAGTCTGAATTTCAAGGAAAATCAGTATCAGTTTAGGATGCAACTGTAAGTCACATAAATCAATATAAAGGGCCTGAAGAATCATTTGCTACCACACTAGATAACATTGGTTTAAGCCGCAAGAAAAGCAGAACATATGATATCATCAATCTCGATATTTTCTCATTGATAAAAGTGGTAGGAGTCAGGGAAATTACCACAAATTAAATGGCTAAGATACGTAGGTCGTGGCAAAGAAGAACAGATTCAGAAGGACAAATGACTGGCCAATTTAGCTCAGAAGAAAACAAGATAGCCCAAGAAAACTGACAAAAGAAGGTCGCCAATGCATAGAACAAACATCTAAAATCTGTTCGATGAAGTTGATTTAGCTGATCCCACCTGATATAGAACTTGCATCAGATATCCCCAAAATCCCGCTCTTTGCAGGATCTCCTCTTCAGTGTAGCGACGTCTCAACTTGGAGCCCCTGATTTCTTGTTCTCCGTTCGAGTTAGAAGTGGTTGGTATACTCTCTTCCAAATCCCTCTTGAACTCACCCCTAGCTCCATTTGTAGAAGGAGATGGCATGTGATACAACCAGCACCCATGTGCAGACACCACAGACCCTACCTATTGCAAACATTTCATTTTCACTTGTGAGATTTAAGATACTCTATAAAGGAGATAAGTATGCACTTCGCAATGGATAGTCTTAAAGTACCAGGATCTGGAGGATTTAACAATTTATTGCACAAAGCACTAATCTGATTTACTAGAAATTAAAATAAAAATGATGATATTTGGCTTACCGCAAAATAGATCATAACTAGAGCGAAAGTCCACCTGAAAAGGTTGAAGGCGGAGTCACAGAAAATCAACGAGCAAACATTGTCGACAATGCATTGGTAATGGACAAATTCAATTAGAAACTTCTAAAAACGAACAAGAAATATATGAATTTGGCCATTATAGCCAGTCTGAGATCCATATTTGTCAATCTTGAAATCTTCCATCACATTTGAGTTTATAGCTAAATGGTCTTTACTAATCGAGCGGCAAGTTCAAGCTGACACAACAACCAAGTCCAAGCACGAGCAGAGTAACCCCTTAGCACATCCAGATACCGTATTAAATATGAAGCGACTATCACATTTTTCACATATTGGCAAGCTCCATTTCACTACCAAAGAAGGTACACGACTGAAAGCGGAAAGAATGTCAAGCAGCAACAATGTCAAGCAGCAATGGAGCCAAGCAACGTCTAACTTCCTGCCATCAAATTTTTCTGTTTATTTTATTTAACTTTCTCGATCAAATGGGTCGTCTAAGAATTCACTAAGCCCAAGAATCACGCCAGCCATTTGCAAGCTCATAAGATCCAGGGCATCCTGATGGGCTAAACCACAATGCCTAATACTTGGCTAAAGTCAAAAAGAAAAGTACACCAACCAGCCGTCTAAGTGGCCTCAAATCTACTAAATTATGTCATATAGTTTTAATTCCACTGACAATGACAAATACAATCAACTGTGCTCAGGCTACACGTGGCCTGTGTGCAGCCGACTTCATCGATCACGACCGTCCACTTGGCAACGGGCGATACGTAAATGAAAAAGGTCAAGAATTTAATTTTAGTGTAGCTACCGCTCTTGGCATATTTACATGGCGACGTAACCAAGTTGAACTTCTTCACTGAGCTGAAAGTGAATATCTGAATCTGGGTTCACCGAGCAACTGAAAATTCTTGCTCTGTTGTGATCGTAACCCGCTAAAGATATGATTTTTGCTTTCATGGGCCCATGCCGAAGCAACTAAACCAGTTAAGTTAGAATTACCGATATCATCGTGACGCCGCCCTCGTCGTCAAGGAGGAGGAGGAGGAGGACTTACTCGGTGTAGTAGATGTACACGCTCACGCCCCAGTCATCGATATCCATGAACATGAACCCCAACATGACCAGGAGCGAGCAGAGCCGCGTCCCCAGCAGCCATCCCGGGTGAACCCCGCGCCAGCAGCTGGTCCAGAGCTGCGACGAGCCCACGTGGCCCTTCGGGACCGACCCCTGCATCGACCCATTGCTCTCGGGCCGGCCCACCAGCAAGCTCTCGTACAAGCTGTCGCCGTCGCCGCGCCGGCAAGCGCCCTCTTTCCTCCAGATCAGCCACAGGGACCCGAGGACGGCGACGCCCACAATGCCGAAGCAGACGAAGTCGTACCAGGCGACCTCCAGCGCCATGCCCGCGAGGTGTTCGACGGAATGTGCCGGAGAGGAGGGAATCCAATACGGGTGCGCATTGGCTTGGGAGGAGGTCTAGAGGGGGTTTATGTAGCTGATGAGAGCGAGTGGTCGTCCTGATGGAGGGAATGGTAGATTTGACCGTCTGGTTTGGGTCTTGGAGAATCACTTGGGGAGTTTTAAATGGCTAAGTAAAGGAGGAGGGAGAGGGGGGTTTGACGTTTGGGATCTCATTTTGCGCGGTGAGCGGCCACGGAAAGGTCTTTGAAAGGGACAAAGGGGGAAAGGGTTGGAAGCTGAGTTCCAATCAGAAGTGGATTAGCCCCTCTCCAAGTTTGGCATCTGGTGCCAAAAAGTAAATGGGAGCTTAGAAAAAGCACAGAGGCAAATTAGAAGTATGAGCTCGACTTAGCGTGCCTTTTTGTTTTATGCCTGAGTATCGTTATCTCTCGGCATGCGATTGGCTTCGTTGTTGAAAAATTGCATTTGGATGATCCGGGATCGAGGATATTTGGATCGTTCGTCACGCCATCTTCGAATTAGGGTCGAACTAGGGTGTTTTGAATGGTAGATAAAAAAAAATATGGATATCTCTTGACTGCCTTGAATTATTGACGATGGTTACTGAGGGTACCTCACCAAAGCAGGAGAAGCAGAAGCTCCCGACTAGGACCGCCTCGCATGTTCAGGTGTATCCACCTAACGGGCTGGTAGGGATGCGCTCCTTATTTTAACGCGTCGGTGCCCGCATGCCTAACCTTCCAAATTAGGGGATAATTTTTCTTCTCTCACCCCAGAAAAATACTCTAGAGTTCAAAATTAAGGACATATTTAGATCAATGTACTTTTGTTTTATATGAGTATCATTATCTCTTGACATGCGATTGGCGATGATTCGGGATCGAGGATATTTGGATCGTTCGTCGCCCCATCTTCAAATCATTATCTCTTGACATGCGATTGGCGATGATTCGGGATCGAGGATATTTGGATCGCTCGTCGCCCCATCTTCGAATTAGGGTCGAACTAGGGTGTTTTGAATGGTAGATAAAAAAATACGGATATCTCTTGACTGCCTTGAATTCTTGGCGGTGATTACTGAGGATACCTCACTAAAGTAGGGAAAGCAGAAGCTCCCGACTAGGATTGCCTCGCCTGTTCAGGTGTATCCACCTAATGGGCTAGTAGGGATGCGCTCCTTGTTTTAACGTATCGGTACCCGCATGCCTATCCCTTCAAATTAGGGGATAATTTTTCTTCTCTCACCCCAAAAAAATACTCTTGAGTTCAAAATTAAGGACATATTTAGATTAATGTATTTTTGTTTTATACGAGTATCATTATCTCTTGACATGCGATTGGCGATGATTCGGGATCGAGGATATTTGGATCGTTTGTCGCCCCCATCTTCGAATTAAGGTGTTTTGAAGGGTAGATAAAAAAAATGTGGATGTTTGCACGGTTCTCAATTTAGTTTAATGAAATCGAAATCTTGGTCCTTGAATTTACCATGCTCTCTAGGTTCCGTCTTCTTCCTTTCTTCCTTTTTTGTCCTTTCAAATTAACTCAAATGACTCAAAACTCAGATTGTACAATTCGGTCCTCCATTGTCACATCATCAATAGAAACAAGAGCAAATAGGTCACGACATTGTCAAGCGAATCGTTTTTCATGAGATGGGAATCCTAAACGATCAGCATTACTTGGACGACCAGGACATATAGAATGAATTTATTGTCCCTATCATTTTTGAATGCCAACATCAAATTACATGAGCCTTCGTTTAAAAAAAAATGAGTAATTTAAAAATTATTTTATTATGAAAATTCAGGATGTCACACAACTCATATAAACACTGACTCATATATCCATTTTCCTATTTGAGCTTTACATGATTTAAAAATCAAAGTACTCAACTCAACTCAACTCAAATACAATTTACTCATAAATAAAACTCGAGCTCGAGTTTAATAAGCTCAAATGCCGCGTAATTTTGAGTAGATTTTGTCTATATGTATAAATTTTTTTATTTTTTCAAAATAGATAATGAAAACTTGATAATACTTAATTATGCTCGATTGGAATTGTGAGCTTATCTAATTGAGTATTAACAAGCTCAAGCTCGACTCAATAAGATATTTGACTGGCTCCAACTCAAGCTCAACTCAAAATAAGACGAGTCAATTTCAAGGAGTCGTTTATCCGAGTCCATTAGTCGGTTTCATCCCTAAGAATTACTATGATCGAGAAATATTGTGATTTCCTGCTCATTGTTTGCAACATCACTTGATATATCAACGATCTAGCTGAGTTGAGCCAAGTTGGAGTATTCTTGATTTTTCATTTGAGTTGAGCTCGAGTAGAACTTGTAATGTTGCACCAAGCTTAAGGGTGATCGGTTTCAAGATGGGTAAATTTCAGACCTAGAACCTGGAACGTATCATTTTTACTTTGGAATCTGTTGTGGAACCTGTCCTGTTTTTCGGATTCGGTTCCAGAGTCTACTTGAGAATCTGTTTTTCTTTTGTTCCTTTTTCTGATTTCATTTTTTCTAACAAAATAATATGAATAGCAATGAAACAATTCGAAATAAAAAGATGAATAATAAAAATCCATATCCGCCAAAAGCAATAATCCCTACGATAAACAATAAAAATTAATATCCACCAAAAGCAACAATCTAAAATATAATAATAATATGATCATGGTATTTTTTAACATAAGCTAAAAACCGGTTTCAAAACCGATCCGGTTCTTGAGTAGGTCTTCACTTGGAACCGGTCCCTGTTTGAACTGGTTCCGAGACCTATCTTTTGGGTGATCCGGTCCTGTTTCCTGATAAAACCGTTCCGGTTGCACACTCCTAACCAAGCTTAAGTTGACTTTCGAGCACCAAGTTTGAGCAAATCGAGCTGAGCTCAAACTCGACATTCAATCAAACTCGATTCGTTTTAATCCCCACAAAACAGGAGCATGAACAAACTGGTCTGTCCACATTCCATACGTAAACAGCATATGAGCATAACATGAATATGTTGTCCGTCCCCTTTGTACAAGATTGCGAAAAATCCCGGAGAACTCATTCCAAGTCATGACAAGTGCGTGAGGATTTGGTGATATTAATCAAAGGTGGTCGCCTCCGTTACATCCTCGGGCCGTTTATTGGACAGACATCAGCAGCCATGTCTGCAACTGCAACGGCCGCCGCGGTTTTCGCATCGAGTCCTGCCACTCGCAGTCCCGGTCACTTGCCAACAAGAAAACCCAGAAACCCGATCTTCCACGGGAACCGCTTCGCTTCTTCCTCGAGTTCGAGATCGTCGTCTCTTTTGGGTCGCGCATTCTTCATCACGAACCGATCGATTCATGGGTCCACCACCAGGCGAAGCTCGCTCTCCACCACAGGCATTAGACCTTTCTCTCCTGTCATGGAATGGCAGGACTGCACGTGAGCGTCCCTTTATTCTTCTTGGGTGAAATTGTTGAGTACCCATGTTCGTTAACCGATTGCTTGTGCCTTTAAAGGGGGAAATTCTGTAGTGTTTCGCTCACTCTATCTTTAATGTGGGCAAATTGCTTCAGCATACTTTGATTGATTCGTCATTTATACCTCTTGGATAATTACTTAGTATTGCATGGAGTTTGTTGGGTTTCATTCAGGTCAATTTTCTGGCTTTTTTCGCCCAACCCATTTTGAAATGGGCATTTTTCTGGTTGATTGGATGTATATTTCTTTTCTGGTATCTTCAGGTGAAGATGGGTCAACCGTTCTGCTTGCTTTTGAGATTCGAATGTGTAAATGCGACTTTCCTGGGCTAACTGAGCACTTTGTTCAAATGCAGGGTTAAGATGGAGATGGACGTACCTATTTCAGTGGCATATGAATGTTACTCCGATCGTGAATCAATTCCTCGTTGGATGCCTTTTATTTCTTCTGTAAAGGTTTGCAAGGAGATGCCTTTCCTCAGTACAATTCTTTTAGTTGCGCATAATGTGGTTTAGGGATATCAATCTATTGCCTTAGTACAACTAAAATTTTCAAAGAAATAGCTTGTTCTATTCATCATTTCCTTTTATTCTTTCTTTCGATGTCAAATCAAGGGATGGAGGTCTTGGTGTTCTTCAACTTCATAGTTTGTGGTTTCACACCACCACCGCTTGTTGAAGCCCTGACGTATTAGATTGTAGCGGATAATGGATGCTAATCTGTGGCTAAATAAAGACATTGTATCTAGGGATGCTCTGATTTCTGGTATTGGTTGATGTTCCTCTAATCTCACATATAAGCAAACATACTTGCTCATGCCTATCTTGGATATTGGTGGATTTCTGATTTGAGGATTGATGAGCAAGGACTTGGGTTTACGAATTTGGGAAGTACTATTTCAAATTTTGCCCATCAAAATGTCGGAGAAGTAAACTGTAAACTCTGGATGGTATGTGCTGAGGTGCCATACATGGCTCCCTTCTGCATCTAATTCGGTTTGGTAATTGTGGAGACATGCTGCGTTCTACTGTAAACTTCAAAAAGCATGTATGTGCTTCTTGCTCAATAAGAAAAAGCACCTGCATTTGAATCGGCCGAAAAGCTGTCAGATCCACTAATAACACCATATTCCCGGGCTAAATAAAAGAACTCTTGAGTTATCAGGTTGAGTTTTTTTGTCCCCCCTTAATTGTGTGGTGTGGGCTTATGAGTGTCCAATTTTGGCTCTGCTTCCATTAGAGAGACATGCTGAGAGAATCCCCAGTAGTTTGCCTTACTATATCTCTAACCTTAAGAAAGCTACATGAATGTATAATATGTGGATGTAAGCTTAACAGATTATCATGGTCACTGGAGTCACTAATTTTAATTTCTCGGCAGCATACTTGTGGTATCCATTCCACTTCCAAACTGACCAGGAAAACTATTCCAGTTGAGTGGCTTGCGTCTTTGCTTTTGAAATTTTGATGGTTGATTTCAATATACAGATCTTGGAGGATAAGCCCGATTTATCAAGGTGGTCTCTAAAGTATAAAGCCTTTGGTCAGGACATTGAATACTCTTGGCTTGCTCGAAATATGCAGGTGATGAAACACAGAGTTACACACGTGTCTTTACATAGTTTTACATTGGTGATCTTATTTTTTTCATTCTTGCTGAGGCCATAATTTGGACACTTTGTGCAGCCAACCCCAAACCAGAAAATCCACTGGAGATCCCTAGAAGGTCTTCCGAACAGGTAAAATGTTACAGAAAAATGTTCTGTATTTTTCATTATACAAATTCTGATGAGGCTACTAAAACAATAAGCTTCTGCTGTTATAGGGTATCCTCTACGGGAATATTATTCATGTTGGCACAGTAACCACTACCAATATGCTTGTATGACGTGAACTTGATTTAAGCAAGATTCACATTGGGGCTGAATCTGCATATGCTCCTTTAGGCTTTGTCGCAATTGTTATCTAGGAAGCACGGACACTCTCTGCGGGCCTCCGTGTCATGTCGGACACTGACACTCGTCCGACACTCTTTTTTTTATTATTTATTTATTTGTGGATTTGAATCAAATTAATTTGATTGAAATAATCATAAAAATGATAATTTATCATGTATATATAAAAATATGCACGTAATATATAATGTTTCCCAACATGTCGGAATTCTCATTTTTTGATAAATGACGTGTCGGAGAGTTGTGTCGTGTCGCGTGTCGCATGCCGGTGTCGGTGCTACTTCAATTGTTATGGGCTGTGCTTCTCAGGTATTGAGCATATTGTTGTTCCCATGCTGATAGGAATTAAATGGCTCTTTCTTGCTTGAGGGAAGAACATTAAGTATTTGATTGACGCGACAAAATGAGACTGCTATCGGATTGAATAATCATGGTTTTCTTAGGGAAAACTGTACGAAAATGACATATTTATAGAGAGGCCATCTTCTGGAACCTGCCCAACTGATTAAAACACCACGGCCAAGTTACTTGTAGATTAAAATGCCCTCATGCTGTGAAAAAAAAAAAGAACATTTAAACAGTATTTGATCCCATCATGACTTTTCTATAATCTGAATAATGAACTCATAATGATGCGAAAGGACTCACAAATTTTGATTAGATTTTTAGTAGCTACTTCGTTAGGCAAAAGTAAATCTGCTAAATCTAGTTCAAAGCTTATTCCCCTTTAAGGAAATGTAAAAACAATGGTAAAGTCCTATTGGTAAACTGAAACCATTCATACAAATTTTCTGTGTGACCCTATTGAAACCTCATGATACGTGACCAGTCTCTTTGAACATCATCGCAGCTTTTTTTCCCCTTTCTTGAAGTTGCATAAAATTTTCATTCGTTGATGTCAGAACTATCATTGCTTGTTTATACGGTTTACTTGTCGCAGCCAAGTTTCTCTTTTCTCCATGGCCCATGTATTTGGTTTTGTGAGTGGGTTCTTACTGATCTAGTTCCGATCCCTCATACAGTGCCATCTAGTTATGGCAGTTAGTTCCTCCACCTATCACTTAAACTTTCTATAATGTTGGATCTTTATGGCTGGTATCCTATTGTTCTTTGTTTTCTATGTACTTGCATGCCTTGGATTGTCAAGATTCTATCACATACTATGCTCATTGATCACATATTCCAAGTGCTTGGTCTTTTAATGTAAAACATTTATTTTAGTAATACCCAATTGTTCTAAATATTCGTAAAAATTGATTGATTACACTGTATTTAAAATTGGGTGACACCTGATTTCTCATGTGGCAGAGGAGCTGTTCGGTTTTATCCAAAAGGTCCATCTTCCTGCATAGTAGAAGTAAGACGCACAAAGCATTATACTGTTTTTGATGTCTTACTGCTGATGTGTGGTTTGCTATGAATGCTATGCACATTCTCTTACTTTCAATTGACTGGCAAAATTTGAATTCCTACTGTGTATTAATGCTGCACTAAGGATATAAATCAAAACGGCTGTTTTCTATGTATGTGTTTTTCACTAACATGTCTAAATGGAATGAAGAAGATAGGAGCGGTAATGCTATACACTAGATAAAAAAATATACAGTTCTGTTTCATGGCTTAAGTAGTGTAGCTCCCTTACAAGTGTTTCATTTTTTTTCCAGCTGACAGTTTCTTATGAGGTGCCTCAACTTTTGGTTCCTGTAGCATCTGTAAGGATTCTCTCTGTCCCTTGCGTAGTTATTGAAGCTTGTATATGTCAATGAACTCGCCGCATTTAAATAGCTACCTAATTACTTTGTTGTCAAGTCAACTATACTGATTGATAAGTCTAATGATGGAACTAGGAAAGTAAAAAACTTCTGCTGCTATTCTCTCTTTTGAGAAATCAGTACTTTTTTGCTTCTGGAGAAAGTGTTTTATATTCATTGTTTTAGAAGCTATATTTGCCGGAAAATAATGAAACTTCTTTTATTAGACTGCTGATCTTAGTTTTATGCAGGCACTGCAACCATTTCTGGAGAGTTTACTGCGACGTGGTTTGGAACGCTTTGCAGTGTTTGCTAAGAGCAACTAAGAAGACCGAAAATACCTAATTATCTAACAAAGATTTGCGGGATGTAACATTCCGGATGCTGGATCATTTCCATATAGGAGCATCCGAACCATTCTTAATGGAAATCATCTGTATCTGTGCCGGCATAAACTCCATTCTTTCACCCAACTTTTGTGTTGTACTTCCATTCTTTCAATAAGTGAATTATGATATTCATACAGATCTAGTGGTTTGTTTTGCTTTGGAACTTTGACCACTTCAACAAATAGTCGCCCACTTCCCAAGCTCAAATCAACTAATAAACGTCGAGCAGGAGTACTGAAACATCTATTGATTGTGCATAAATCAAAGAGTTACTTTAAGTTCTCGAGCTTATACATAATTATCGTCAAGCATAAAGTCGTACTTTTATCTAAACTTTAGGTCGAATCTAATTGGCTGAACGAGTGAGTGACGGGCATCTCTAGCGCGCATAAAGAGCGGATTAGTCCAGCAAAGTTCAAATGCTTCATGGCATTGTTTCAAATACAGGTATTATTTTGTCGACGTTTTTTGTCTGAATATGTACATAACAGCCGCCGGAGAAGTAAATTATCATAGCTAGTGCCCTTTGCTGCGTGAATCCAGGCACTTTAACTAAGCTTTTGATCAAAGGGAATCTTTAAAAGATTTGTATTTTCTTATTTGTGAACACTGCTGATATAGTATGCACTTCGACGTTTGCAGAATATTCAATCTTCACTTTCTTGCTTTTCATAAACTAGAGAGAATCCACGTTCAGTGAAGGAGGTTAGGAATAGCGGAGAAATAATTGGTTATCGTCCCAGAAGTAGTTGAAAAGGCTTATTGAGTTCAACAGAATCGACTCGTTCGATGAACTAAAACGAAAACGATTGGACAGAATACCAATCATTAAAGTTGATAACATTTAGCCAGGCCACGACACAATCACTCCTGCAAATTTTTCTTGAGCTCAAAAGTGAATCTTAGTGGTTGTAGATGGATAATGTATCTTGTCTGTTCTTCTGCTTAACAAGTCTTTCTTGAGAAATTCGTTAGTGGTAACAAGAACAAACAAAGGACAAAGTTCAATCAACCTAACATTTCTCTTTCCAAACAAACTCGCCGCGAGGCCGTCGAAAGTCTTCAGAAATATGAAACTTGGGAGGGATGAAAGTAAAACTAATGGGAGAGAACATGGGGTCAGATCAGCTATGTGCCACATATGAGAGTGTCGTGTAATCCTTTTTTGTTCCTCTTTTCTGGAAATGGTCCAGCAACTGCAACACTCCACGCTCTAAAAGTGTCATCGTCTTACTTAGAAATGGTCGGTTCACGCCATTATTTTAGCTCAAAAAGATCGGTTATGAGGCTCTGTAGACTTTGCATAAAACCGTTCCCACTTCTGGTGCTTTTTATATATAAATCCTGCTTTCTGTTTCTTCATGCATTCTAAAGGAGCAAACTCTGCTCTATTGTTTTGGCAAGTTGTGTTTCTATAATCGTAGACTGTCTTCACTTGCAAGTTACATAAGCTTTTCCTAGGAACTAAGCACCAATATAGAGCCATCCTGCTTCAGGTTCTGACTTACACTAAGTTGAAGTGACAATGTTGTGCATTACAATTCCTAGAATTTTGTCGTGCATTGTTTTCATATTCCTCTTCGTTCCCGCTCGCACGAGATGGCACAATCACACGAAGCACGAGCACACTCACCACCACCACCACCCTAAGACACCCACCATTCCACTTCCTCCTCCTCCTTCTCCTTCCCCGGCAGAGCCACCTAGTGACCGTAATCACTCAACAAATGTTTACGATGTGAGAATGTTTGGTGCGGTGGGTGATGGAGGGGCCGGCAACATGGAGGCATTCAAGATGGCATGGGACGAGGCATGCAGCAGCCGAGTAGAGTCTCCAGTTCTCTATGTGCCATCCGGTTACTCCTTCATGGTCCAATCCACATTCTTCACCGGCCCTTGTGAAGGAGGCATCGTCTTCCAGGTATACCCAGAAAAATGGTCCTCAAAACAGTGTTGAAATTTCATAGTACATAACGCTAGACTTGTTTGTCATTAAGTCTATGTTTAGAAGTCATCCTGAAAACAAGTTTCTTTCTGAAAACACCAAAATGTTGTCTTTTAATTACTTGAAAAGGTCAACGGCAAGCTCATGCCTCCTGATGGACCAGAATCGTGGCCAAAGGGGCTCAGCAGGCGGCAGTGGCTGGTCTTTTACCGGGTTAACATCATGTCGCTACGAGGAGATGGTCTAATAGACGGGAAAGGAGAGAATGGTGGGATCTTCCTTGCAAACCTCATAAGGTACTCTTAATCAGACTCTTCATGAAGAATACACACTATATTTCTCTAATTTTGTACCACTCATGCATGATTTGTGAATTCAAGTTTTGCAGGGAGGAAAGGGAACTACATTGTTTGGTCCATGTGATAGCCTCTTTGTATGTGTCCAACTGTGTCAAGTAATATATTCAATTTGAATATTAAAATCTTCAGATAAAGAAGCTAAATGCCAGTAATCTTGTGCCTTTTTTCCCTTCTTTGTTCAAACTAATGTAGGCTATAAGGTTCTTCATGAGCTCCAACTTAACTCTGCAAGGGCTCAAAATAAGGAACAGCCCTCGGCTCCACTTCAGATTTGATAATTGCAGAAATGTTCACATTGACTCCATCGTCATAAGTGCTCCTCCTCTGAGCCCTAACACCACTGGTATTGACATCGAGAACACTATCAGTGTTGAGATTTACAATTCAGTCATCTCCAATGGTGAGCCCCCAAATTCATATAAATACACTTTAAATTATGCATCCTACTCCATAACTGCATAACAACTTCTTGCGTGTTATTTCTTGTGAAGGCGACAATTGTGTTTCGATTGGGTCAGGCTGTTACGACGTTTATGTACGGAACATAACCTGTGGACCTAATCATGGAATCAGGTTCGATCCAAATAATGTGATTCTAAAATATATATTGACGTTCATCTTCTGTTCCAATTGGTATATCATCAATATATATCCCACACTGCTCACTTCTTTCCAATTTTTTCTTTTCTTGCATGATTGGTCAGCATCGGAAGCCTAGGCAATCGCAACTCACAGGCTTGCGTCTCCAACATCACGGTCCGAGACTCAGCAATCAAATCATCAGACATTGGGGTCCGTATCAAGACGCAAGGACGCGCTGGGGCCGTTTCTGGAGTGACATTCGACAACATCCACATGGACAATGTTCGGAACCCCATCATAATCGACCAGTTCTACTGCCTTGCCAAGCAGTGCACCAACCAAACTTCGGCAGTGCTAGTGTCGGATGTGCTCTACACGAACATAAAGTGCACGTACGATGTGCGCAGCCCACCGATGCACTTCGCATGCAGCGACTTGTTCCCGTGCACAAACATAACGATATCGGACATCGAGCTTCTTCCAGCACAAGGGAATTTCATGTTGGACCCTTTTTGTTGGAATGCTTATGGGGATACGGAGACACTGACTATTCCTCCAGTTTCCTGCTTGCTGGAGGGCACTCCTCCTGGTATCTTGGACAATGAGTTGGGTTCCTGTTAAAACCCTAGGGACACAATTGATCTTCTGTAGAGCATTAATTATGATGTACATCGTCGATAATCAGAATATGTGGTGAATATAATGTTAATATTATTGTCAAGATGCTGCACTTATCTTTATGCTGTATTTGTGAGTAATTGACTTTCTTTCGTTATTGATTGTCAAGAAACCATCAAAGGGTCGACATATTTCGATAGATTAAGCTGATCATTCTCCAAAGCAAACACGTTCTTCCCCTATCGAACTATTGAAAGAGACGCAAACCCTAGGTACATGATTTACAACTGTTAAATCATAGGCTGGGCACCGCATCAACGGTAGGACAAGCCTGTGCAACAGCTTTCGTTTACTATCTACTTCATGTTCCGATCAGCATAGTCTTAGCTCCCTACCATCGTAAATTCTATAATCTAATTGCTTGTTCCACAAAACATATCAAGCATACATCTTAGCGACTTGGCTGATCGGTTGTTAATTGGCAAATGATGATTAACTTGTATTGTGAATAGTATTTCTGTATACCCAGTGAGATATGAAACCACACACTTCTTTCTGTCAACTCATTGTCTCTCAATCGCGTACTTGTCTCATTCCTCGCGAAGCGATTGAGCTGAATCTGTAATGGGTTCAAGGAAGCATTTTATACGATGCAGCAAACAGTGTTTTTGCATTCATCGCAGATTGACGCCTCCATGCCATTCAATACACATGAAAAAAATATGGGGTACTTGTTAGCAATTCACACAGGACACCGTGCTCCGAGCCTTAATCACTATGTTCGAGAATAATTTGTGAAAAAAGGCAAATTTAAAGAGAATTCGTGAATAAACAAGGAGAGAATCAGTTGGTAGGAAACAAATAGAATCTGTAAGAACCTGTATTTCTCTGAATTCAAGAAGAGATGATGTATCGAAAGTCGAATAATCACACTCCCATTTTGGCTCTTGTCTCTCGCACACCAAGGCCCTATTCTATCATTGCGGATTTGATCTGTATATAAACTTTTGTACGCTCTTTTCTAAAAAGGCGGCAATTAATATACGGTTTTTAACACGGTATCTGAACTTTACAACTCAGTTGATCTCTATAAATACATGTAAAGCGCCCTAGGCGCATACATTGGATAAAGTTTCACTCACAGAATAGAAGACGTGACCCTTGAGATTACTTTAAATTAGTTTTCTTATCCATACTTTGCACAAGTTTCCAGATATATTGAATCATCACAATCCAATAGAATGAAAGAACAATTATATGATGGTATATTTTGATTTGAATTTGCTTTAAATTTTCGAGCAGACCTCTCATAATTTCATTATCATCGAACTTTTCAGTCATTATTTGTTTATGGGTACATTTCCCAATACATTCGGTACGAGAAAATGCTGATATGGTTGTCGCTTGTTGGTCATGCTTTGCTTATTTTGTTTTTTCCAACTTTTATCACCGTAGGATAAACCCAAAGTGACAAATTTTGTCACTTTGGGTTTATCCTACGGTGACAAAATTACATATTTGTCACGGTAAGCTCAAAATTGTCTCATCTTTGATTGAATCAATGGTGACAAAATTCTAATTAAGTTTGACTCAAGGCTAATTCAATTTTGAAGCTTCAAACTACTTTTGCGGTGGCGAATGGCAAAAGATTACGAGGGTCATCGGATTGCACCGACGAGGACATTTAAGTGCTAGGTCCTTACCCACCGCGGCCCTCTGAATCTTTTCTCCACATCATCTTACAAAGAAACTTCCATGCCCACGCCACCCTAAAAAATCATGGAATGTTCCAGGATCCAAACACTCACGCCCTCTCTTCTCAGTTCTCATGAATGGCGGGCATCATTGATTCTTTGAGGAAAGGTATCGTCGCATGAATACGTACGTTTCTGACAGCAGCAAGAGACAGGCAAGCAGAGGCCTGCAATTTTCACTTCCCTCGTACACATGCTTGCGTTGCATACAACGTGTATAGATGTACATTTCAAGGAAACCGATGATACGCCCCCACGCACACATGCACAAAACCTAACACTCGTATAATAATTCCTGAAAAGTGTGGGAATATGTCAGGCTGGAATCTTCATCACAGAGAAAAAGGAGAAGGCTGAAAGCCTACCAACGCAAAGAGGCTTCCCTCTTCACCAACTTCTCGCCGTGCCCTCAGAGAAAGGCTGCCTTAAAAAGCAAAAGTACATAACACTAGAAGTAACCTCAAAAGATGACGGCTTCCTCTCCTGTCTCCACTGAATGCATGCGACGTCCATCACCTTCTGCATCACCAACAAAAAGAAGGTTTGATGGTCCACTGACTCATGTAGGCCAAATTCATATTAACCATCTTTTTTTTTTTAAATAAATCTTATAGTGAAACCTACATAATGAATGATTTGGATGATTGGACACGCTTGCCATTCTATGAGTGGAGCCTTGTCTTGATGCTTGTTTTCATGCATCGGATGGATATTGATCAAGTCAAGGATTTAGATATCCCGTGTTATCACAGACAGAGGAAATTCCAAAAATCCATCTAAAGTGAGCTCGATTCTTTAAAGTTTCTCCAAACTCGACCTTTTTCCCAAATACCCCTGATCAATTTGATTCAATAAATCTATTAAAGCGGTGTCCGTTTCTCAAAATTAATCGTAGACGTGACTTTGTTCTAGATATATCCCATAAACTTGATTACTTTGACCAACCCCCCTTGAGCTCATCGTCATTGAAAATAAAGGTCGGCTAGTTAACACGTGCACGTCCCACCCCTTTCCCAAGGGACATTTTAGTCTGGACGGGAAAATCTCCAATCAATCCAAACCTATTGTACATATGATAATTAAGTTTTAAGTTTTTCAATTTAGCCAACTCAGTCCTTAACTTTTGCATGAAGTTCTAATGCAGTCATTGTGGTCAATCTTTATCGGAAATCGCTGACGTGGCGGTGTGCCATATAGGACGGCCGACGATGACAAGATCGTCACGTTAACTATTTCCAGTGAAAATTGACCGAACTAGTGAAAATCGATGGAAAGAACTATATTGGAATTTTTCACAAATAGTTTAAGACTAAATTGGCGGAATTGAAAATTTTAAAACTGAATTGACATACATACAATAGGTTTAAGACTGATTGGGAGATTATTCCTAGTTCAAAAGAAACACATTTCTCAGATGCCACTCACATGCACATTCAGAGCGTTAAAAAAATCCTAAATTTGCCCCAACTATATTGATTAGAAAGAAAAGGGTTTCTCAAGCATAAATCGAAAAAGTGGAGAAAAAAAATCACTATAAATATGGGAGGACGGCTGTAATGAGAACTTTGTTGAATGAAGTGAACCCCTGTAAATAGGGGTGTAACGGTTCGGTTCGGTTCGGTTCGATTTTCTGAAAATCGAATCGAACCAACCGTTAAGTGCCTCCTTGAACCGAACCAAGTGAGGAACCGAATTGGAACCGAACCGATAAACCGATTTGGTTCGGTTCGGTTCGGTTTGGTTTTCGGTTTCTTCTTCTTTTATCTTTTTCACACTTCTTCCCTTCCCCCTCCTCGTCTTCTTCTTCCGCTCTCTCTCTTACCTTCTCTGCGAGACTGCTTCTTCTTTCTTCTTCCGGTCAAGAAGCAGGTCAATTGATGACCCACCACCAAAAGGCCCCACTCAGATCACGGAAGTCGGCCATGGACACTCGCCGTAGACCGAACTTCCGCGGCGAACCCGCTCTAACAACAAAAAGCGAGGACCAAGGACTCGGACTGACCCGTTTGGTTAATGGCGGCCATCACAAACACCTCGGAGCCGCCGTCGCCGGCCCGGGTGGACTCGGTCTCGATGTTGGCATCGGCCGACGAGCTGACGGCCGAGGCCGTGAACAAGCGCTACAAGGGGCTTGTAATGCTACGGCCAAAGGCCGTCAAGGGGAAGGGCGCGTGGTACTGGGCGCACCTCGAGCCCATGCTCGTCCACAACGCCGACACTGGCCTCGCCAAGGCCGTGAAGCTCCGGCACTCCCTCTACGAGGCCGTCTTCTCCGCCTCCAACCCGTCACGGACCGCCTCCGAGCACCTCAAGCGCGGCACCTGGCCCAACTTCAAGAAGCCAGAGAGAAAAATGTGTTTCGTCACTTTTTGGGAGATGATAATGATGTGAGGGAAGAGAGAGAATAAAGCAGGAAAGAGAGAGAGAGAGAGAGGAGAGCAGTGAGAGTGCGAAGACAGAGGAAGAGAGAGAATAAAGTAAAAAAGTGTGAGAGAGAGAAAAGTCAGTGAGAGGTGAGCAGTAATGAACAGTGAGATTGAGGAGAGAGAGCGCGCGCGAAGGGAAGAAAACCACGTTAAAAAACCGAAATCCGAACCGATTTGAACCGAACCGAACCAAACCATTATGTTAACCAAATTCATTTATTTATTATCCGAACCGAAATCGAACTGAACCGAAAATGCATGAATTTTCGATTCGGTTCGGTTCGTATCTCGATTCGATTTTTCGGTTCAGTTCTGACACCCCTACCTGTAAGTGCTTTCTTGCATGTGAGAAGTACGCGATGATGTCAATTGAGGATTTTTAAATTTCGGTCTAAGGGTTTTATGATTACGGTGGTTTTTGGACCAAATTGCCCCTGCGAAAGGCGCAAAGGGGCACGCAAGGAGAGCACATGTTCATCGACCGGCCGTTATTCTCAGCGGCAATGAGCTGGAGAGATTATAGGCTCAAAGTGATCAAATTAGGAAAATTGTCCAAAACTGTCACGAACCTATTGCAGCACTTTTGCCAATTCGGTCACTGCCTTTCACTTTGCCAATTGAGTCATAAACATTTTCATTTTTTGTCAGGTTGAGTCCTAAACCTTTTCATTTCTTGCCAATTAAGTCCATCGGCCAATTTTGGCGGAAATGTGACATGGACGTCGGAAGCCGCGTGTGGCCGACGTGAGCATTTTAAAATAATATTTTAATAATTTTATGAATTTTTATGCTTTTTTCTTCTTCTATTTTTCCTTTTGCTCTGTTTTTTTTTTCTGGGTTTCAACTTAGGGCCGGCCACCCTCGCCTGCCCTAATTTCAAACCCAAAAAAAAAAATAGAGAAAAGGAAAAAAAGAAGAAGAAAAAAGCATAAAATAATCATAAAATAATTAAAATATTATTTTAAAATGTCCACGTCAGCGATTTCCGGCCAAAATTGCTCGGATGGACTCAATTGGCAAGAAATGAAAAGGTTTATGACTCAACTGGCAATAAATGAAAAGGTTTAGGACTCAATTGGCAAAGTTGAAAAATTTAAGACTGAATTGGCAAAAGTGCAATAGGTTTAGGACTGTTTAGACAATTTTCCCGATCAAATTAATGGGGGTATTTTGGAACAAAATCAAGTCAAGAGGATTTCAAGAAACAAGCGCCAGTCCGGGGTTATCGAGTCAAAGTGATCCTATTCACTGGGTACTTCAAAATAAAATCTACGTCCAGAGGAAATTTTGAGAAACGAGCGGCACTTTGGGGGGATTTTCAGAACTTTCCCTCAGAATATACGTATATATACATTCCATAGTTTCAAAATCCTATGTATACCATGGCGAGATCTAAGAAAATATACATTTTGCATTCTCCATTTTCTTTCTAGTTTCTTCTACTCTAACAAGATGTAAGGTGTTATGTCCTTCCATGCTTGAGTGTGCGAATTTCTTCATTTTAACAAGTGAAGGATGTAACATGTAGAATAAGAGATTGGTTTTCGTTGAAAGAGGATCGAATCACGAATGTGTCCAATCGTACTCATCTTAATGTTGTCTCAAATTCGGATTTATTTCGCTAATTCTATCGTATTATTCGCAACTGAAGATTGTGTGTTGAACTTGCTTCCATCTTCATCAACCAGGCCCATAGACTCATGGAGGTGTTTTGTTTATACTAGCCCATATGAATAAATACTTGAGACCATACATTTTGAGCTTCATTCTTTGCTAATATTTGAATATAAGAGTAATTATCGACCAAATCAACGCTGATACGCTGGCATTGCTCCGAGTTCTTTGGAGTAATCCCGCCAGCCATTTCGCGTGTGATTAATATACATAATACAGTAACTGCAAATCAAGCCAAAGTTTCATATTAAAGGTGTTTCTAGTTGATTAGCTACTCCATCAAAATCTAGCTATGTTGATAATTTTGATGAAACTATAGAAAATTTCTTGATAAAAAGGAATGAAATTAGTTTTTTTTTGTCATGCAAAACGGGCCAAGCCGGTTTTTGAAGGTTCACGTCTTTACTCTTGAGGCCCAACTTTGGTGTCTTTGATGGTTCAGCACAATGAAGCATCTAGCTTGGTCTTCTTGGAAGATGCAGTCACTAATGTCATCAATCAAAAATTGATGACTTAAAAATGTAACGGTGTATTAGTTTGAATGAAAGAATTCTTCGCGAATTAATTTTCAGAACTTTCACACGCTTGATTCATTGAAAATGATCAGTCAACGAAAAACCATTTACAGTCAAAGAAAATATGCATACTTAAAATCAGGAAATTGAATCCCCTAACCTGATAAGGGCTGGATTTTTCCTTACAATAAAATTTCTCTGAGACAAACACACCTTAAATTGGTGATCAAACAACAAACCCTACCTTTGTCGTCACCTCTCTTGGTGGTCATGGGAAATTAGGAGAAGGAAGTGGACCATAGACCATTGGACCTCTACCTCTTTAATTATGTTGCTCATGAATAATCAAGAAAAAGAACATGGAGAATCTAGCTCATGTCACCTCAATGACTTTGTTGCACCTAAAACCCTAAGACCTCTTACTTTTTTTCCTAATCGTCTGTTTTTTTTACATAAATGATTAACCCTGTAAGCGTGCAAAGAAAGAGCAATTTTGTGGGGCCAATGAAAGAAACCACTGAAAACAGTGTTAATGATAGTAAAGCAAACATGACCCACATTTTCCTAGACTTTGACCAAATAAATTATTCAGATGCATTACCCTTTACCATCAGAATAGAGAGTCAACTGTACAAAAATGAAAGCAGAATTTTAGATAGTACTAAATTTTACATTTTGCTTCTATCTTTATCTTAGAAAAACGATAGAGTTGGTGGTTGATATGCTTTGAGCGTATGGCTCATTCTGCTTCCAATCAACAGGCATTTTCTTCGATGAACACATATTTTTCATTAAAACTTGTGGGAAATAGAGATATTCATTCATATGTCCTGATTAAGGTTCTTCTTTTTCTTTTGTATTGACCTAAATTTCGATTTCATTTTTCTCTATCAGCATTAATCTAAGTCCAATTGGTGGAATGAAAAGGGTTTTCAAGTTCATCACAGGCTCACAGCAGAAATGGTAATGTCCAGCTTGCTAAAATTTCCTCTCCTTATTAGCTTTTAAGCATGTAGTGTACTGGTATTTTCTATATTAACTTCGAATTTGTAGCTTATGATAGCACTTAGCAGTATTCAAATTTTGCTTATTTTGGTGAGACTCATCTTTCCCTGGTTTTCTTTTTCTCTTTGGCCTTGTCATCTTCCATGTTTGTTGGGTTAATTTGGTCCTAGTGGCCTAGAAAAAAAAAGGCTATGTTATTATGAAGCTTGAACAGTTTATAAAGGCTATCACTCCCAGACATGAGTGCTTCTTGTGTACTTAAAATATGTGCACTTAGCTTTCCATCTTAGTGCTCGCATTCATTTCACATATTGTTTGATTACTAAATTGTCAGTATCTTCAATCTGTCTTGTCAATGTTTTCGAGCTCCATTTGGATCTCGACATGGGCTCGTGCGCGCGCGTGTGAGCGTGAGTCGTCAAATGCATTCCTTCTCTTTCCCAGCGGTGGAAGGAGGAGAACCATCCATCATTTTCTTTTCCTGGGTAAAACTGGTGATTCTGGCAAAAAGTCATGTGCAAGAAGAGAGTATTACATCTTTATCTTTCTCATTGTCACTCGCTCACTCATTCCCAGCATATTGATTGCATTTTGTGTACTGTGTTATTCACCTTTGTTTAGGTCAACTTACCTGTCAAATCTTGCTGATTCTGGTTTCATCACCCAATAGGATGATGTCAAAACAACTTTGTCGTTGTGGTGGGAATGAAAAAAAGATGTTGTCTTGCTTTGTATAGATGGATTATGGACGGCGGATCCGTTTGGTTCAACTTTGTAAATGAACCTTGGGAGAATGCAAATACCTTTAAATTAATACCCCTTAACAAAATGCAAATATCATTTGATAAAAAATCCTTTATGAAGTTACTTTGACACAAGTAATATTTGAAAGGGCTTTGGGAATTTTCTTTTTTATTAAAAAAAAAAAGCTTACCCTACCCTTCACTGGAGCCGGCGAAGGGCTACAGCCGTCGATGAGGGGCTACAGCCGCCGGCGAGCTAGATCTGGAGCCGACGGCCGTCGCCTGAGGTTGGGCGACCCCGGTGAGCCAGATCTAGCTAGATTTGTCCGTTTGGGAAAATGTTGAACCAAACGGGGCGAAGAGCTTCTACTTCTGATCCGGGAATTGTCCGGTAGCGACCTGACTTTGCTTGAAAGACACAAGGGATAAGCCTGACGAAATTAGATGAAACCGCCCTTTTCTTTTTCTTATTCCCTTGTCCCTTCATCCCATTCCCTCAGTGCCATGAATAATGTAGGACCTCTGCCCGTTTCTTTTCCCGGTCCGCTATGATTACAGCTCGGAGAATTCCTACCACTACTTTAGTCTCAAGACCGATCAAGAAAAGCCGATAATCCAACTGAACATAATCACGTATGTGGAGTACTCCTTTCCGGGTGTGCTTGATTATGCAGTATCATTTGGCTTTTGGGACGGATTGTGGCGGTGAGTAGTGAGTGAGAGGTGGTTTGGTCTCTGCCATCATGGTGATCTAAAGCAAGGAGATCTCGAGACATGACTTTCTAGGAGGCTTGCACTTTCATGTCTCACTTGCTCCCTTGCCCATAAAGCTGTTCCTCCGCTCAAAATCGCTTCATGTGGTCATTGTGACTTCAGATCCCAGAAGGCGGTGCATATCTCTTAGCGGAGATTGTTGTTTTGGTCAGGCTCGGCTAAATCAAAGACCCAGATGTTAGCTCCTATTGCGAAATGGCTTAACACTGTTTCTGAAGTATTCTCTGTTTCCTTCATATTATCTTTTTCCCCCTTGACTCTCTCTGAATCTCAAATTTGGTCTCAAATCTGCAGATTATGTCTGATTGATTAACTGGTATGTAAAGGATGCGAAACTCTAGGAAACCGTCTTAAAGATTCCAACCAGAGCCTCCGGACAGCGTGTATATGCAAAATAGAAACGCGATGGACAAGTGGGGGATAAACTTTTAAGGGTATTTACTTGTTCAATGAAATCCATAGTACAGACAATTACTAAAGCAAAACTTCATTACGGACAGGAGGAAATGGAAGTTCAAAATTCACCACTAAACTGTTCAAATAAAAGCATACAAATCTATTGTTACAAAAGGTTGTGACTTGCGAGAAATATTTTACACTGATTCCTCTGTGCAGGCAGGACACGTAACAGTACAAGTTCTTGCACCAGACATTAATTTTAAACAACTAGAGACCTTCATCAGCTATCCAGAAGCCGAATTACTCGGACTCTTCCCCAGATAAGAGAGCTGCTTCTCTCCGGCCCTTGGACTATGAGGTCCTCTTCCACCGTGAGGACTCTTCTCACCTCTTAACTCACTCACACGAGGACTGAAACTGGGTCGAGGGCTCTGGAGGGTGCTCTTAGAATCATGTGCTGGTGTTGTGGTGGAGCTTGTGATTTTCGGACTAGACACATGCCGGACCTCACCGCGGCTTCGAGTGATAACCTCATCTAATATCTCTCCAGCCCCACCATAAGAAGCTCCAGCACCAATCTCTGTCTCCTGGTTGAATATGCAAAACACGAGTTTGAGTTTGGCAATCGAAATCAAGGAAAATTACAATGCTTATTAGAATTTTCTGATCATATCGTTCTTTGGGAAGATGGGTAGAGCGCAACTTACTGCTGCAATATTGAATGGCAAAGCCGGTGCTTCTTCATACTCTGCAGCATCCAAATCCTGAAGATGTACTGCTTTGAAAAACTTTGGCAAGATATATTGTCTTACTGGCACCAAAAGCATGATCATCAAGGGAAACATAACTCCAGCGATCGGAACCCAAGTGAGTCCAAAGCAAATAAGCAGGTACATTGTCTGAAACAGTGTGAAAATGACGATCGCCTTGAAAGGCACCGTCTCCACAAAAGTTGCGTGGTACTCCTCAAGGACCCTGAAGGAAATTTTTTTGGTATGAAGAGATGGAGAGTTCAAAAAAGTAAGCAAGTTCAAGAAAATGGGACCAACTAAACTTTGTCTAGTCGACGGGTTAAGGATAGGAAAAATTACTTGAATCTTCTGCTTGGTGCAGTAAAAAGCAACAAGATCCTTTCCCAGAACTGGTTACCCGGTAAACTTTCGATTGCCATAAAAGCGAAGTATCCCCAAAGCACTGAGGTCGGAATCATTTTGAGGATAGGCATGGCTGCAACACACCCTCCGACCATCATTGCCTGAAGTAAGTTACTGACGCGTTGTTCTTTGACCTCGACAGGTAACAGATCATCAATATCCTTCTCAACATCAAACACCGTTTCATCCACCGGGGCATTGAGACTGCCCATGCTTGAAGCGGCTTGTATTGTCGTCTCCTTCAGTTCATTAAGTCCCGGCTAACACAATATGAAACGTCATCAGATGATTTGAGTCGCAGATTTTGAACACTTATTGGAATGTTTATTGCAGCCCTTTTGTTTCCAGTGTCGAGTTCCAAAGTGGACACTATTAGCAGTTATTAACTAAAGTATCACAACATTAGATCCGATTTATAATATTTCATGCAAGAACGAAAGAAAAACGAATTTTGGTTTTGTTCTTACTCGAGAAGAGGGTTCCTGGTAGACTAATGGGGTCTGCATTTGTCGATAAGCCTCTTGCATATTCCCATACAATTGCCCTAAGCTCGCATTGTTTCGTATGCTTCTTCTAGCTGTAGTAACGAGTCGGTTCCGAAGCAGCTGTGCGTCAGACAGAGAATTTAGCGCTTAGATCTTTCTAGCAATATAGCAAACATACATGACTCTTATCTTTTGAAGCACACGACGAAGAATTAAACATTTGGACAATTACCTGGTGTTTGAGTGTTGCAAGGCTCTTCGTATGCATCGGGGATTGCGGTATCACTCCATTTGCGGGGGGAACTCCAATAAGGCCGCACATCAATGTCTGCAATATAGAGAACATTGTCCTTCAAACTCTTAAAACCAGGAATTGAAGAATCACATGCAGAAATGCTGCTAAAAGGAAAAGGTGACTAGATGCAGAAATTTTAAACGGAATATCTGCATACCAAGAACCCCAAAAGAAGCAGGTCGTAGTGATAAGAAGCAGGCTTTCTCAGATTGAACTCTTTCTGTTGAGCAAGTTGAGATGCTACGCTATGATCAAAGTAATAGAGCACGGCAATCATCGTTGCCGGAATAAAAGCTCCAATTATGTAGAAAAAGGGAACGTTCAACATGTCCTGTCATTTCGAGATACGAATCAGCGATAATTTTTTTTCTCAGGGGAGCTTAAATTAACTCTTTAGCAAGGAAATTGAATAAGCGTGCCTTAACAACAGTCCAGTTCTCAGATGCGCCAGGGGACCATGGGTTTGGGCTGAAAAGGCGCCGTGGGATTCCATCGGGGACACTTTTTGCCGGTATGTAGGAAACCGCCGTCCAAACTAGGACCATGAGTGGCACTCCATAGTCTGCGACGAAGCTTCGAAGCCATCCTATGGAAATCGCAAATCATAATGTCAAAATCGACATGAGATTTCATATGGAATCTATACAATCAGAAACGACTCTTCACGAGAGAAGAATAGGATTTTGAAACTTTGTCAACTTGCCTGTTCCGTACCGCCACGATCGGGCTTTCCGGCTTCTCAATGCAGTGAGGAGGAGTCCAAACGAGAGAACTACCGCGAACATCCCATTGGCGAATCTCCATGAAGGTAAAAACTCAGCCAACTTCGGGTTTTCCTGTTGCGGTGTGCGGAACTCTTCCACTAGCCCCTGACAATCAAACACACAACGTATGAGAAACTAATCTTGCCTCTTTCACTCATTTACTTGTGTCGCGCAACTTAGTCACCGTGTATAAAATATTACAGCGAGGCTATACCGCACATGGTCTCATGCTCCTACAGCTTGCATGCATCTTAGTATTGATTGAGCAAGTTGATTGTCTTGTTTATAAGAAACTGAATTTAGATTGTTGCTCCCTCTTACTTTAATAGCTTGCTGCATAAAGAGCATTGCTATGAGCAGACCGAACAGCTCTCCGGCCACACGGGTAAATCTGTTGATAATAGAGCAAGCTCCCAGTATGGCCATCAGAAACAGCAAAGCAGCTGTCCACACACAGACCCTACACAATTTCCCAAAAGCACGAAGGTCAAACAAAAATATTGGCATAAGAAACTGAAGATTTTTTTTTTCTCAATGGCAGAACAAATTACCAAGCTGCCCACGGGAGGAACAGGTTCCGACCCAGATCTGATCTTTCCTTGGCAAAGTTGAACATGAATGTGTACATGATAACAGTAGGCTCTGCAACTCCCAGGATCAGCAAAGGTTGGCCACCGATGATCGAGTGGATGATGCCGCATAGTGCGGTGGACGCTAAGGTCTGAACTGCCGTCAAAACTCCCTCTGCATATACCGGATCGATGTCAGAAACAGAAGCATAATTGGATAACTTTTCCCCTCGTTTCACTGTCTTGCTATTCAGTTTTCTTCTCTCATTTGAAGTAAGTCCCGCTATAAATTAAGCGAATTGAAAGCCAACAAAATCAAATAATAAGAAAGTGAATCTTCCATATCACAAATACAATGCAATCTTCATTACCAGTGTTTCTCTCCAGTTGTTCCCCGAATGAAATGACCGGAATCGCCGAAGCAAAGAATATGTAAGTCGTCGGAGCCAAAATCCTGAAAATGAACAACAGTTAGCCATCAGAATGATACAACCCAGTAGTACAAATGCTTGGCAGCTATTACTAGAAACCAAATGTCGCGAAAACGAAAATGTGAATCAGAACCTAATTCCTGCTCGGATGCCGCCACTCCAGTCTTGCCGATAACACATAAGCCTTCCTCTAAGGTCATTCTTGATTCCCTCTAAGGGAACAAATGTCTCCTCCATAGTTCTCTCTCAGGAAAAAGAAAAAGGTTTCACCAACCGATACAATCTTTTCGCAACTTAATGCCTTCTAGAGCAATGACTTGATCATCGTAAACCATCAACGCCTACCCATTTCAGTGAAATCAAGGTCCAGATTATGGGAAAACCTCCATAACTTCAACTGGAGCAATACAATACAAGACTCTGAGATAGGTTCAGACACTCACGAGCTAGTAAAAAGAGTTCATGCAGGAATATTTCGGAGAAACCAGCATGCAAGATTAATTCAGTGCACACACAAAAGGGTCACAAACAAAGTGATTTGTGTGTACTGCTGATCTGAACTGCCTGTAAAGAGGAGAGCAAAATGACTCAATTATATAAGCTCCGAAAGCGTTTTTGCGTTTCATAAAAAGCCAAAAAAAGGGAGGTAGATATTGGTGCAGAGCAAGGCAGTGCAGGTCAAAAGAGAGATTGAAGGGAGCCTTGACAACACATCTCTGTAAAGGAGAAAGTAAACTTTTCTTAGCAATGCTGATGAAGCAGATACCTTAAAATCTGTATGAATCTCCCCCCCATTAATTGGCCACCTTGCTTTCACACTATACTTTCATTGGACCCAAACATTCATATAAAAAAAACCAATAATTCTCTTTACTATTATTTTATGTTCATTGAACGCATAGAAAATAATTTGGTTGAAAAAAGGAAGAAGAAGAAAATGAACAAGAGTGAATTTTTCATATGTCAACATGGCATGAATTTAGGGACATGCATCAAGATGGGCGGGCTTACAATTATTATCTTTCCTTTTATTAATTTAGCTTTTTCGTGAGACATTTCAGCAGACAGTGGTTGACATGATACATATACATGTAGCTTGTCCTCATTAAACCTGCCCTTTGACTTTATAACTGAATTATTTATTTATTTTAGTCCAATTTTTTCTGGAACAATTTTCAATGTATTGAGAGAGAGTACTGTACTTACCTTATGTCAAGAAGCCACAAGTTGAGTGAAACTTAATTTAATATTCAACAAGATAAGTCACAGAAAAGATACAAAAATCATAAGTCGGTCCATTTTCGTATCATGACGTGCATGGAGATAGAAAATTTTGGAGCCAGTCCAAATGCATAAAGAAGTGCTTAACAATAGACCTCGGTGAACTAAAAAAATAAACGGAAATACATAAATTAAACCTTCAAGAGAACTGAGTTAGCCAGCTTATTTCAGCAAGAATTTATTACAAATACACCCTCAACTTATGATTTCAATTGCAATGTCGTCCATGTCCTTTTAATTTCTACGTTAACCAATCAACATTTCGACTTTCCTAATTTCGGTAGAAAACTGTTAGTCTCGAGTGAATCTACAAGATTGGGAACCGAAAAGGTGTTGGGTTCGAATGGCAACGATTAAAATGATACGAGTGATATCGGAGCAGATTATGTTAAATAGGTTGGGAATGCATTTGCAGCTTAACATTTTCAAAAAAAGTATCAAGACAATTACAGACAAATAGTGAGTGATTCTACATTCGAGCTGATCAAAATAGAGAAAATAAAGACCTCAAGAAGAAAAGTTAGCCTCTTTAAAGAATAGGGCTACACTTATTCCGGCATTGCATTCGTCATAGGAGTC